AGTCATCGTAAGTATAGTTGTTTTGCTTGTGCATAGATCCGCGTACACAATAGTCGATATTAAATTAAATGTATTTGGAAAAGAAAACAGTGTTAACTAAGGGAAAACATTTATACTTTTAAATTTTCATGATTTAAGTATCGAGAAATAGAAAAATTAATTGCACAATAAAGCTGAAGTTCAAACAGGTGTATAAATATTGAATTATATTTAGAGTTTTATTGTCTTACTACTTGACTGTGTAATGAAAAATGTATCAAACGAGAAGCACCGGAAGAATCGGTAACTTTAAGTGTACTCGAGCGTAGACGTAAGTCCATTACAGCATATTACAAAGCGAAAGAAAGATCGCCGATTTTTTTTTCCATAACAAAACCATCGTCGAGAAAGCATGAAGCCTCAAATATGCCCTTAGATCTCTAGAAAAGCGGAAAAACCAGTTCACCGGCAGTGTAATGGCGAACATATCTAGAAGCGCGTGCGTTTATATGCGCTCGCGATATTAGTAGTAGAACATCGTGGCTTACACCGGTGCGTGTACGCGAGGAGAGGGGTTACAAGAATGCGTATTATGAAACGGCCGAGAAGTTTCACTCCTGGTACATTTTATGCAGATATTAGCTTTATTGGAAAAAGTATTGATAAACGTTAAAATAAAAAGAGAAAGAAGGCTAATACAGCGATCGTACGAGTTTCACTCTGGAATGGCATTCATCGGCGATTCGTTTTCATTCGAGAATTTACAAGCCAATCTAGCTCGCCCAACGATATGTCACAAGGTGTGAAATTTTTCGAATAAATTATCTCATTATTCAAATTACGCGTAGGTGCACGGACCCACGTAACTCTGAATCGACCGCTGTAATGAATTGATATTATCAGGCAGATGATTCAATTTTTTTCATAAGATCATTAATTCGAAAATCAACAATACAAGATTATATACGTTTAAATAATTGGCAGGAATGAAATGTCGATGCTCGGCCAGAAAGCGATGGATCGTGAGGCAGGCAGGTAGGCAGGCCCGCACTCGCTAAGCTAAAAAATTAATTGCTTCATTTCTCGGATTCTCGCTCATACACCATATGATTCGCGATTTTACAAATTCGAAGAGCGCCGTTCATTCTCGAATCATCGCAGCGTAATCATTCACGATCGTCGCATGCAATGCCATCAGTTTTACGCGCACATTACACGAATTGAATGAAGAGGGAGGGACGGAGCGAAAAAAAACAAGGCCCAGGGAAAAAAAGGTATAAGGAGCACCGCAGGCTCAGTGAAATTTTTCGTCGGCTGTCGCTCTGTGATCTACACAAGAGAGTTGAAGTTCATGGACCAATCGAGTGAAAGTCAAGTCCGCGCGCGCATGGGCCCGATAAAAGGGTTTTTTTTCGTCAACTGCACACAGGGCACAAGTCGGTAAGTATGGGATATGCACGCCGACTTTTTTCTCTTTTCGGCACGAGCGAAAGTGTAATGGGTCATATACGATGATGAAGATGACTGTATACATGTGCCCGGAATCGAGAGGAAGGATATGGCCGAGCATAATATTGTATTAAAGCGACTGGCAAGCATGCGCTCGCTTCTTCTTTTTTTGGAGATTTGAATCTCCTCGATGAGCCGAGCATGGATGGATGGCTACGTATACGTATGCATATAAAAGTATCTTTCTGCATGTGCATACGAAAGTGGCTTTGAGCGCACGTTATCACGGCGCGGAGGCCCCGACTTCGCTCCTCGTGAGAACTCGTTCTCTTAGCCGACGTTTTATTTTACATATATAGCCGACTTTTTGATGCCTCTCTGCACGATTTTCGGCCTGCCGCGCGTATTTAACAAAGATGCCAGATAAGCCGCGTGCAAATATGAATACAGTTCGCGTCGTGCCGCGCGTGAATCATCCAGCGACGATCCAATTTACAGCTTTCGTTATTTCGCGATGCGTAAAGCCAAATTCCTTTGGGACTTTTGACCGCGTTCGCGACGCGAAAACAGAAAAGCAGGCATTTGTCGAGCGACACTCACCTGTGAAAACAGATGCGGTAGAAAAACTGAAATGTAGCGCCAATATTTAAATTAAAGGAAAAAAACTTGGTAAATATAAATTTTACATGATAATGGCACGTACGCGGCTGCTTATCGTGTATTGGTGTCATGCGCAGCAGAAATAACGTCCTACTATTTCTTATTATTTATTGAGATATTTTTAACTCTTCAGCCACATGCATTGTAATAATGCAAAAAACAGACCTAAGATATTTTTTCTGTTACTCAAAAACTAATTTTTTATCAGTAACTTGAATTGTCTTGAATTAATTAATGATAATGTTTTTAATACAACAAAAGCTGTGCTTTGTTTATCATAAGAAACATAAACCAGGTGAGAAGTTTAAAAATTATTCTTGACCTTTTCGATCTTATCGCAGTGCAGAGTGATTATTAAAAAACTATTCATTTTTATAATATTATCCTTTATGGTATCAAAATATTCGATTTTTTCGTCAAAATCGATTTTTGTTATTTAAGATATTCAACAGTTAATTCTGAAAATTGCGAGATACTTCATTTACGAAATTTCGAAACAATAATGTGGTACAGCTGTTTAATTATGATGATAATGATGAAAGTTCAAATCGCTAGAGTGAAATAAAACTATTTTTCACCATCGGAAACATTTGCGAACATTTGACTCGTATACAATAAGACAATGATAAGTCTTTTACGCATGTAAAAAACAGGTGATTGATAGTTGGAAAAACCCGTGAGCAGAAGGCGAAGATTAAATAATCTTAAAATTGATGTCGATTTTTTTCTGTAGATAACAAGCAAACTGCACTCGTAGTTTTTTTTTTAGAAATTTAGAGTTGACCTTGATTTCAAGATCATGTATAGCAGGAATCTTTTGTTTTATACACGTACGAGTCATAAGATGCAGCACCATACACGACACATATGAAAGACGTGTCGAATTAGGATTACCTGTAGTTTGCATGATGAACTCTGATGCATATATACGTATACTATATACGTACGCATGCATCAGGTACACTCATACTGTGCACTTTCCATTCTGAACCAGATCCACTCTCTCTCTCTCTCTCTCTCTCTCTTTCGCCCTATTGTACGTGTTTATATATGTGTGCATGTGTGCGTCTGCTTCGATGTGCTTAAAGTAAGTTGAACGATGTTTTTAAATGCTCGCTTGTCTTTCCGCAATCGAGACGTTTCACAAAACAAGTGCACATAAACTGACTGGCTTACTTACGAGCGAAACAAATACTTTTTCTCTTACGGAGCAAAATGCAGTTAATTAACATTTTTCGACCTATACAGACGATAAGAATTTATAAATTAATTAACCACGAGCAATAGGTCATATTAAAGTGAACATTGTTTCACAAATGATGGTACAAATTTTCATGATTGATATTGCAAATACAATATTTTTTTTTCTTCAGCGGACTAAGAATAATGAAAAATTTAAATGATTAGAAAAAGAAGTGTATAAATATTGGAACTCTTTTTACGCGTAAAACGCAGCAATTTCTGCGTCCATTGTGTTTGAAAATCGTAAACTTGAAAGACACTAAGAAATTCCGCAGAAAGTGGAAGTGAAATATGACTCTTTATTATAGCTTTGTGGTAGATCCCCATGCATCGCTTAGCAATAAAAGTTGTGCATAATTGTAGCATAAATTTCAAAACACTACGGTTGATATCAATCTCTTTAAATTCTGTAGGCTTTAAGATTTAACTCTGATAAGAAATTATGCAAAGTCTACAACATTTTTAGCAGGTGTTAATCATTTATTTACCTTTTCAGGAATACTCGAAAATTGTATTGTATTAATAATCGTCGTGGTTGAAAAGCAATCATTTTTAATGATTCCAGTACACACAAGTCTGTTTATTTAACTTTAAATCGGGCACGTGCTATGAACTGTCATGTTACTTACAGACACCATTATTCGCATAGTTGAAAGATAGCAAGGAATAAAAGTCGAAAGTAAAAGTTGAAAAAAGGAAGTTGTGAATTTACCTTTTCGTGCGTATTGCGCATAAGATTTTTAAATACCCGCGCTGTGTTACCCGGCCTAGGAGAATCGTAATTAGAAAGTTTTGGAAAATTATTTTTTTTATTTTGTTCGAGTACTCGAAAAGAAAACACTTTTATGCTTTGTATTCGGTCAGTAATCTTGCACGATGATGTAATTGTCTCCAGCGCGATGTCGAAGTGTTTGTGTTTCGCCTCTCGGCCTTTCTTCGCGGACGATTGTGACAGCGTGAAAATCAATTAAAGCTCAATATCGTTTGAATAGAACAATGCAATAGCGAAGCTGTGTAAAGTTCAACAGCACCAAGCGCGCGTTTGTCTCTTTTCAGAAGTCAAGTTGTCATTGTACATCGATGTGGCATCGCACACAATACGTCCTAGTATACCGCTTGGTCTCATGGCTACTAGGGGTTTTAAGTGTGTACATATCTTTTGCCCTGTTGACTGTCGCTGTCTCATAGTCCTCGGAGCGCATCTCGCGCTTGTCCATTTACGCGTCCCGAAAGTCCCCGTTGGCAATGCGTATAGGTGCGCACATATACGCACCTTATTATAAAGCGAGAGAGAGAGAAGCGCATCTCCCACGGTCTTGTCTCTCTCTCTCTCGGCGTTCGGTAGGTCGGTATCGTCGCGGCTGCTGCTTCTCGCGCGCGCGGTTACGTCGAGACAATATGCCATGGGGACCATTTCCATATACACACAGACGCACACGTACTCGCACATTGGCTGGCACATTGCAATTCACACATACGATCCGAGGCAGAGGTATACACATAAGCGAGTGTGTGTCAGCCCGTTCGCTTCTGCTGCTGCTGCTGCCGCTGCCTGAGACTCTCGGCCGCGCTCAAAGGCAAGTAGGTCGGCGCCTCGGCGTATAATACGCGCGCAGAGTTCGAGGCTGCTGGGAGCACCATGCGCCAGTCAGTCTCGCCGAGCTGTTCCGGCAGTCAACAGGTGCTTGCGAATATAAGCGCGCGCGCGAATCGGCTTATTAATCGGTATCAGTCGGGGGCCCCGATACAACGTGTGACAGAGACGCGCCGAACCCCTTCCTTCTCTCCCCCCGGCCGCGTCCCCTCCTCGGCCGAAAAAAGAGAACCGCCAACTGCTGCGCCTCTTGCCCGCCGTGAGGCACGTGGGGTTATAACATGTTGGTCCGATAGTATCCGCCAGCGAAAAGGTTGACGATTTTTTCCTCGAGCCATCAGTTCAGCTCGGTTCATCGTTTGACACAGTTCGGGTGTACATTACGTACTTTTATATAATAAGCATCTAGTTTTTAGTTAAGAGACAATACATACGGACGGATTGCAACGAAGAGCGATGGTGAACTCGCAGCAGGTAAAAATAATAACACGCAGTGTGCCCGAAAAATCGGATTTGTTTTACGTGTTGGTTTGTTTGTTTGTTTATTGACGTTGAAAGGTGATTTTTTGCTATGATTTGCAATTTATATCGCGTGTGCCCGATGGACGAAAGTTGTGTTGCTGCGCCGTGGCACGCGCGTGTCCAGTTCCGGCCTCGAGGTTTCGGAAGTGCAATGCTATAGTAATAGATAGTAGTAGCAGTACTATATACGTATATACGAGCTGCTGTATAACAGCTGCAGGAGAAACGACGCTTGAACTAGATATCAGCCTTAATTGCTAAGTCGCTCGCGCGAGTTAGCCTTTTGCTTCGCTGCTTCTCCGATCCCATAGACATACACCACTGACGCACATTATGTTTTCTGTCTATGCACTGCACTCCAACATATAGATGTGTGCACGTGTGTGTGTGCACACGCAGTATGTACCAACTGGCTTTCTGGAGCGTAAAGCTCGCGCTTTATTATACACACACGCACTCACACACATCGCGAGCTGGACTTTCGCGCGAAATTCGAGACTCGAGACTCTGCTGCTACTATGCTTGTGCGTGTGCGAATGCACGCGTCCATATGTGCGATACCGATATTTACACAAACTCGGCATTTTTTGTCTTCGCTCGGCGCTAATGATATTTTACGCTTGTTGCCGTTGTTTTATGCTTCAAAGACGTGAAGAATGAATTTTTCCGCATAGATGAAATGGTGCTGTGAGAACGTTTATTATGTTTATTTTTTCGGAGAACTCGCTGCAACATTGTTTCAATTAATTTTATGACCAATTATTATGTTAAATAATTTTAACTTAACAAACAATATAGTGTATGAAATAGTTCACTTTTATAAGATGTATACTCATTATTATTATTAATTCAGTATAAATTCAATATAATTTTAAAACAATTGACTTTATAAAAGTTTTCGTTCGGACACGCTTAAAAGCTTTCGAGTCTTTCATAAAGTTATGTTGCAAACAAAATGAACTCAGCGTTACAATAAATCGTAAAAAATTGTCATTGTGAACTTATAATTGCAATAGTTTATTTTATTTCGAATGTAAAAGTGAATGACCTACTACTTTCCTCTTGCTGCTAAATCAAAAGACGCGGATATCGATAATATCATTTAATTATGAAACAGCGTGTAAAATCCTGTAAAGTATACATCTTCAGGATATTAAAGTTAGGTAATGCGCGATTCATAGAAAGTGAAACGTTTCACTTGAATGTTCAAACGGGCCAAAAAAAATCGACTTGTGATGAATCATTTTCGCTTACGGAATCGTTGCTCACAAATATATAATAATTAAGTTAATGTTCCGGTCAATTTGATTTGATTATCTAATAATGGGAATTTCGACAGGTTCTGCTGGCGCTCGTGCTGCTGGCGGTTGCGGCTTCGTCGACGCCAACGCCGGCCAGCAACATGCCCAGGCCCAGCTATGCGCGCACGATGCTCAAAGTGTCGCGAAGTCTTCCCGGCGAAACCGAGGAGGTCAAGGTGCGCACCAGCGAGGGCAATCTGGCGACCCTGATCGTGAAGCGTCGCGAGAAGACGATCGCAGGAAACGAATTATCCGCCAGATCGATCAAGGAGACGACGACTTCAACGGAAAGACCGACATCGGAGGCATCTTCTCCCAAGGTGGAAGCCTCGTCGACGACAACGCCAACGACGACGACGTCGAGCCCGTGGTTCGTAGCCGAGACGTCGACACCGGCTCCGACGTCAGCGACGCCGACCACTCGTGCCGATGCAACGACTGCGTCGGCCATTAGGGCTGCTCCAACATCGACGACGATCGGATACCACAGTGTAGATGTCGACCCGTGGTCGAGTCAAATCAAAACTTGGACCCGAGTGTCGAGCGAGAAATCGGCACCGGTGGAAGAGCCACGCAACTGGGTGCCCGTGAATCGTGGATGGCAGCCCGTGGAGCAGCAGCAGCAGCCCAACGGCGAGGACGAGGCTCGAAAATCCTTCGCTACTTGGCTGGTGGCCGACGACACCGGCAGCGCCCGGAGCTTTCAACTCGTACCCAGCGACGACGGCTCCACGGAAAAAGTCGTGCGCTACGCTTTCCTCCCGTACGAGCCGAAAACGCGCACCAACGTCGGAGCGAATCTGCTGAAGAACCGGGACGCGAAAAACGTCCCGCCAGAGGTTGTCGTGCGCTCCGAGATCAACATCAAGCCGCAGCCCGGCCAGCCCGGACAGCAGCCCCAAACCGAAGCCAAGAGACTGCCACCGATTTTGAACGCCGACGGCTCGATCACGATACACGGCAGACGGGTGCCGGACGATCCCATCGATAAGATTCAAGTGTGGAGAAACGCCCGAGTCATAAACAATCAATTGGTTACCGATCCCAACGTACCGAGCCCGACGGTCCCCACGACGAGCAACACGGGAGCCGAGTTCGAGCGATTTTTCGAAAACATTAATCGACGGTGAGTTTGAGTAATATTTTTATACGCTCGTTTGCCGATGCCACTCACAAAGTAATAAATCGTACGAAAAAATTCGCTGCCCAGGCAACGTCGAAAAATTGCTTCGATCGCCCAAACGCACCGCGCGAGTACGTATACCGTATAATATATCGTGCTCATAAATTTTCGCGTACTTAGCGCACTCGAGCGCACGAGCGAAATGATATACAATCGAGCGCAGTTCACGTGCGCGTATCACATATGCATTCGATGCATCGCCTTGGCGTTGCGTGCGGTTATATAGCGCAGCAGAGGAGTAGTCAGCCGTGGTGGCACGCAAAGATCCGAATAATAATCAGTTGACCTTCTTCGTGCGCTCTTATCTGTATGCGTGTGTGTATAACACACATCGGATGTATAGACGCGCGTGCGCGTGGTCAATCGGCGAGAAAGTGAGAACTATTGCTGTTCTCTCATCTGTAATTTGTGTCGTCTCTCTCTCTCTCACTCTTTCCGTTTCGCGGTGCTGCTCAAATGCGCTCGCGGCAATTTTATTTTGAATTATAGATAATATATACATTTGGCTTGATTAAACATTTAGGTGACATTGATTTTTGTACACGATGCGGTTGTAGATTTGATTTTATAGTTTTTTGCATCTTTCATTGACGCGCGCCAGATGAAATAAAAATTACTCGTTTACATGGAAAGCACTGGTAACTTAGAAATGTAGTTGATAATCAACTCTTTGAAAATTACCCGTAGAAAAATTGAACTAGTTTACTCAATTAAAAAAAAGTATTCAGTAATGTATAACCAGTGAGCGAGATGTCATTGACGAAAAGGATCTGTCAACTTGAAATACAAATTCTTTTTAGTGTGATGTTTACAGTGCAAACGATATCAGACACTTTAAAAGTAAATACTACGCGTAATGGCGAATATAAATACGAGTTGTTGTATCAAAACAAATATTTAGTAAACACACGTCTGAATAGTGTGTGCCGACCGTGGGAGTAGAAACTCGTAAAAAGCAAAAATATGCGCGCCAATGTTGACGCAAAAACGCTTGCATAAAATCAATCGAGCTTATAAACTAAGTAAATTTAAAGCGCACACCGATCGAATCCTTCTGCGCAGAGAAAGTGATATGCTAAAAATTTGGTTGACAGAAAGCCGATCATTATTAGCTGGGCACGAGAAAGTCATATATGTAAGCGAAGAGAAACATGCTATACAATTTGCATTTTAATAGATGATAGTTAAACTCACCGGTGAAAAAAAAACCATACGCTATTATCGCGCGATGCTCTGCGGCTATATTTTATCGCGTACGTCTCAATACGAGACTCGGCTACTCGTGGGTATCTGGAAACTTCCGTTCAATTTATGCATTTCGTTGACATTTTATTTGATAGACTAAATCGAAGAGATGGATAGCGGCAAAGAACGTCTATTTAAGATTTTGAACGCGCATAGTCTTTTCTATACGAAACAATTACTTAGTTATGCTTATCAGGCGCACATTTATTATCCTTTCATCTATATTTTATTCTTAGGTACGTTATAATTCATCCTGAATGAAAAGCTAAAACGTTTATTATAATTTCGTTCTAACAGTAATTTTAGTGCAACTACATTATTAGCATAATCCATGAAATATTCAATCCAATAGGTACATAAAAACGCCACAGGACGACAAGAACAAAGCATACCGTAACGAAGTTTTGGCCGCGGAGATCTACGATACTGCTGAAAACACGTATCGACCGAGCATACGCAAACGCATGCTTCAGCCCGAAATTCCCGGAGCCGTCTATCCGAACTCTCGCCTGTATTTGCCCCAAGACAAAGGCATGTCGCAGACGATCAAGCACGGCACCCGAGCGCCCGTCTTGCAATACGCCCATCCCGAGCTCGGCGTTCAGCCCGCCAAAGCCTTGAAAAACGAGCAGCAGCAACAGCAGAGGCAATCCGACGAGGCGACGGAAAGTCCCCGGCAGCAGTACCATCAGTATCAGCGCGAGCAGCAGCAGCAGCAGCAGCAGCAGCAGCAACAACAATATCAACAGCAACCGCAACAGCATCAATATGGCGAGTACAGACAGAAGAAGAAGTACGTTATCAACGAGAAAAATTTAGTCGACCCGCATCAGTACAAGCCTTACTACCCGCAGCAGTTCTACGGGATCAGGAGGCCGGAGCCGCCGTTTTGGATCAAGATGACGGAAAATATCAAGAGCGGATTTCACGACGGTGTTGCCAAGGTTTGAACTGTTTCTCTATTACAGAGGCCGAATACTTTCGGAATCAATTGAATAACAAATAATCGTCCTTCGCGTGACTTTAGGTATCCGAATTCACGAAACCGGTATTCGATCCACTTGTGGAAGCCACGAGAAAAATCTCAGAAAATTTGGGTCTCTCGCGATCGCAAGATCACGCGCAAGACAAAATCGGCACGGTCGCGTCCAGCGGATCGGTACTGATTCCCGCCCTGGGTCTGGTCGCGTCGGGAGCTGCGCTCGGCATCGGCGCCGTAGCCGTGGGACGATATCTCGACGTCGACGTGCTGAAACGCTCGAACGACGGCACTCTGGAGCTCAACGAGGACAACTTGCGAGCTCTCGGCTACATCTCCGAGTTGCCGGAAAACCACAACAACAACGGTGACGCCGAGAAGCAGAGCATCGGACAGGGTGTTTACGTTTTGATGCCCGACAGTGCCGAGGGAAGCGTGGCGGTGGCGAGGAAAAAGAGAAGCGTACAAAACGATCTTACTTCAGAGAGGTAAGAAAAGTTATCAACGAATCAGCGCCAGCTGTTTGTTATCATACATTTAAATTTGCTAGTGGCGAATAACGCGTTTTATTTGATTTAGACATATTCCGCGCAAAGGGTCAGACTCGATTGAAGAGATAGTAGAGATCGACGTGCCTTCGAAATCGATCATCGGCGCAACGATCGACCAGAGCAACGATATCAAAGAAGAATTGACAACAAACCAGGCATTCGAATCTCCGGCTAGTAGTCAAAAAGTAGTTCAGCTAAGCGCGGACAATGTTAGTTTTTGCCGCTAATACATGCATATAGCGTTACGGTCGCGAAAAAATGCTCACACGATACTTTTACTTGTAGCAAGGTAATGCGGAACACTTGAGAAAGAGGCGCAGCATCGACGATGGAGAATCCAACGACGAGCTTCAACATCTCGGCGATGATCAAGCACCGCTAAGTACAGAACAAAAAACTGGAGATGACTGGTCGAACACAGCGTGCGCGAAGCGTAATTTTTGCAAAGCTATGCTAGAACGTGGCTACGATTCCCATGCATTCATGGACAAAAAAATGAACGAAATGCTGCGAATGTGAGTAATCAATTTTTATTTATTTATTTTTCTCGATACTTTTCTTTTTAATTGCGTCAAAAAACTCTTGGTGCAAGGATGACACAAGTGCACCTTTTTCTGGGTTTCCACGTTGTTACCGTACACTTGATTACTCATTTTGTTTTTCTTTAATGCACATTTTACGGGTCACTCCAAAGACTCATAAAGCGAAAGTCTTGAGAATTTCGGAAGAATGTTTCCTCATTGGTGTAAAAGTTGACATAAGTTTCAAACAAGATTGGCTTTGATCGTTTTATAGTAAGCTGTTGAATCGCATGAATACGATCGTCGTATGAAAAATACAGCTCCATCGAGCAAAATAATTTTTTTTCTTCATAAAAATCTGACCAGCGTCTGTAAAAATCACGCGTAAGCCGATTAAAGTGAAAATTGATACATCGAGCTAATTCAAGACGAACTGATATTAATGCAGAGCAATGCAGACATTAGTTATAGACGTTATCGTTCAAACGGTCTCGTCGATGGCAAAAATTTACATTGCATACGAGTGAAATTCATTTTCTTCTTCTTTCTGCATTGACTTAGCATACGAGTCACTGAGATATATTTCTGAAAGATTGCAGATCAACGATATGGAAGAAAGAATGCGCTCAGATAACTTTCATATCTCTGTCTATCTCGTGGTATAGGCAGTATGCACGTATACAGGCTACATGGTAGCTAGCGCTAATGTTAAAAAAATACGCGCTTTCGCCAGTTCTATCATTGGCTCTTACCTCTTAGGAATTAGCACAGTTTTCACTTGCGCATGGGCTATTGCAAATCACGTGCACACGTTCGAACGCGCGGAGCCCGCAATCTTCCAACCCTCCGCCAATGCTCGTAAATAATTTCTTCTTTCGACAATTGAAATTTCTTTTTTTGCCACACGACGACGGGGTGCCGCAAAATAATTGCGAGCCTCGGTCCTGCGCGACATGTCAGTGAGTCAGCTTTCGATTTTTTCCCTGAACTTCTCTACGTGTGTATCGCGTATGTTGCAATAACTCGCGGTATAAGTGAAATATAAGAATTGGTTGTATACATGTACGTGACGAGGGCTCATAAAGTTCCTTTTGTTAACGAGCGTTACCACGGGTCTATCCATTTCGAGGAGTTCATACGTCAAGTGTAATTAGTATACGCGCTATTCAAGGATCGAGAGAGAGGCTTTCGAAAATGACTCGGAAGAAAACCTCATAACACCTTCGTCGCTTTCTTTGATATTCATATGATTATTAACTCGCGGTTATGCAATTTCACAATAAATCTTTTTAAGGTGGGTGACTGCATTAATAATGAGCACTCACATTTCATACAAGATTAGCAAAATTGATACACTCCGTGAGCTCGTGTGAAAGTGAAATCAGCTTGCAAACTTCTAAGTGGCTTATTCATTTGCATTTCGCACGCACATGCCTCATATACATTTAATTGCCATCACTCCGAGATCATACCGAAAATTTAAATCGAAACCCTTTCTCAAATGATGTGTGTCGATATCTAACGTAAATTAATAAAGCACCACTCCTCATTACCTCGATATGAAATTTAGCCGGACATAGGTCAGCGCAAACAATCACATAGATATACGGGCATTAGTAGAAGAGAAACTACACTCGAGCGCCGGCAATAGTAATCTGCCAATTTCTAGCGAAAATATATCCTTTGAAACTTTCTTCTACCGGGATGTACCAAAATTGTAAATAATTCAAGAAGAAGCAACAAGTATGAAGAAAAACAATCAAACGCATGAAAATGTCCACAATAGAGCCGTGAGTCATTGCAATCATCTGCACATGTCATGTAAGAAACATGAGCTTTCACATCCGCGTAGAGAACAATTTTACGTCTCTATACGTATATACGTGAGTCAAGTCAAAATTCATCGGCGCGTTGAATAATTCAAGTTCGATTACTGGCCGATCAGTGACGAAAATCCAACTTCTCTTTTCTGATCATTGTGTATTATATATTAAAAAAATAATAACGCGGATCGGTTAAACTCGCGTGTGCGCGAAAAGACGCAGGTGAGATCTTCTTGGGAGGTAAAAAATTCCGTGCGTAAAGAGGATGAAAGTTTACCATTAACATACGAATTTTTAATATTTGTAAAAAAATTTACACACGTACGATGTGGATCCTTGAAGCCTTGAATAAATAACCTGTCGTTACCTACTTTTCCCATTAACCCGTTAACGCCGAGATGGACAGAATTTTTTTCTCTATTTTAATATGCAATTAAATTATCTTATCGGAGCGAGAAAAATTTTTGAGTACTCATTTTCTATGTAAAATTTAATGTACTTTTTGAATATGGGTTTATAATTAACCTCTGATCAATATTAAAAAAGTTATAAACAATTTACTGCGAAAAAACACGATTTGGAATCTTGAAAAAAAACTTTGATTCAAATTTTTTTTATGAAAGAGACTTGAACTGTGGCCAATAATACCTAAAATTGTGGAATAATGACCTACAGTTTAAAGTACTGTAGGTGGAATTTGAATATTCAAAATGGTAGACTCCAAAAAATACACTTTTCCCAAGAAATTTACCAAAAAATGTTCCAAAAATGTACTTTTTTGTTCGAAAACGATCAACTTTAGAAAAAAAATTTATTGAATATGCAAATCCCACCTACAATACTTTAAACTGTAGGTCATTATTCCACAATTTTAGGTATTATTGGCCACAGTTCAAGTCTCTTTCATAAAAAAAATTTGAATCAAAGTTTTTTTTCAAGATTCCAAATCGTGTTTTTTCGCAGTAAATTGTTTATAACTTTTTTAATATTGAATCAGAGGTTAATTATAAACCCATATTCAAAAAGTACATTAAATTTTACATAGAAAATGAGTACTCAAAAATTTTTCTCGCTCCGATAAGATAATTTAATTGCATACTACAATAGAGAAAAAAATTCTGTCCGGCTCGGCGTTAACGGGTTAATAGAGCAATTGATAAATTAGTATAAAATCTTTAAATTGATCCCATCGAGTGTACTTGCGATCATTTGCATTACTCGAATCTACAATTATTAAATCATGTATGAATAAACATTTTTATGAAAAATATAACGATAATTTTTCTAAAATTTTATGAATTAAAAGATTCATAAAACAAAGGTTACCTTTTGAAAAAATATTTACTAGTAATTTGATGAAACTAGTTTAAACATTTTCATGTCTCTACTCGTTTCTGCTTCCCTCAGTGAAGTAAAATTTGATTACAGAAAAAGTACAATAGCGATTATTAACTGGTCTTTTTATGCATGAGTAACCGCATAAAAACGCGGTGAGACTATGAAAGATTAATATTTTCGGATAGTAATCGAATTTTATAAATTAAAGTAGGTTCTTTTAATGATCAAAATTTCCAATTATTCCCTATTTTATCTTTGAGTTTCGTATTATTATGAATCAATACTCACTTAAACATTCATCATAATGATATTGATGCAATTGAATTTACGTGCAATTATGGTATCGTAATAAGGAATATAATTTCTAAAAATTGCGTAATACCATTATAGGATTCAGCCAAGCTTAGCAGCCCAGGTGTCAGAACATTTTGACGACGTTATGGATGCCGTGAGGCGGCACGACTGCAGCCGTTTTTCCTGCTCCGTATCCAGACCCTATGGTGTCCATATGAGAGAAAATAATTTTTTATACTAATGAGCTAGTGGCAAAGGTAATAAAATATTTTTAATGATAAAGTGAAAAAAAATATCAATTCAAAGGCTAATATATCGATCGATCATATGTTTCAGGTCTTACATCACTCGCTCTTTTAAAGATCAAGACTGCTGGATTAAAAGTGGGCGCGACTTTTCATCGCCGAACTGTACATATTTAAGGAGCTTCCTCGGTCGCTCATTTGGCGAATGGCGAGCAACGCCACTTTTAAAATTAATTTTATTAACACTTTATAATTTTTAAATTGTCCGACGAACACGAAATGGTCGGGGAGTTAATTTTCACATCTAAAAACTAGATTTATTTTAAATATCATTGTTGTTGTGTATGTGTGAATATTTTGCATTTTTTTATAAATATTATTAAATACGTTTCGTTAAGAAAATGAAAAAACTATTTTATTTAATTTATAATTATCGCTTCATACTATGACATATACTATTATTACTCATACGTGTATATATTCGATTCATCAATCAGTAACTCGTTTATACGTTATAATGTTATCGAAAATAAAGATTCATAAACTGAAAATGCTAAACATTTATTTTTATCACACAATCAAGAGAAGACTTCTTTTTTTATCAATGAAAGACGATTGCACTAAATATTTCTTTGTGAACGAGGAGCCACATTGTGTTAAAGCACACTGAAAGACGGTAGCCCGTAATTAAACGACAGGTTTAAATTTTCAACAACGAGCTGCAGAAGTGGGGAAGAGCTTAAAAAAGCTGGGCACATCTTATATTGAACAACGTATAAGCGAAAGTACTTGACCGATTAAAGTAATTACAGGTCTTAGTCAACCTTAAATACGGTCGCTTTATAAAATATTAAAGATTACTTTAAGGGTAAAAATACAAAATTTTGCCTTTGATCTGAAACCACTTATTTAATCAGAGCTAAGGCATCTTGAATGCTTAGATAGATGAATCTAAAGATTAAAGCAATGTCTAATAACAGTGCTAAAACATTTATTCGTCACAAACAAATTACAAATCCTGCTGGATCTGACGGTAATTAACTAAATAGTGGAAATTCAGATTGTTTTAGCATAAAATATTCTTCTGTTATTCTTCAGGCTTTGAATACATCATGGCTCCTTGCAGATTTTTCCTCCGTTTACTTGGAGCCTGGCCCGACCCTTTAGAAAACGACAGTTGGTCGTCAACCCTACGAATTTTGATTGTAACAACGATCATGTTTCTCTTTGCAATAGTTTCACAAACAGTCAAATTATTCAATTGTTGGGATAACTTGAATGCAGTTGCTGAGATATTGTCCAATTGCAATATACCAACGAGTATTGCTACGGTGAAAATTGTCAATATTTGGTACCACAGACATGGTAAGTAATGAGTTATCAAGTCGATACGAATAAATCAAGTTTTATTTCAAGTTTTAAAAGATATGTTAAGTCAAGTCATTGACGACTGGAAATTACCACGTACTGAAGAGGAGTTAACTCTAATGTGGCAAAATGCAAAAGTAAGCAGACTCTTGTCTATTGGGTGTATTTTCATGACCGAAGCTACGCTTCTTGCTCAGTGTATGGTCGGATTATGGATTCCTATTTTTTATACCTTTCAAAAGTCTCAACTCAATTCAAGTGTCGAATGGCCTCTATACATGACGGGCTCATTCCCTTACGATACCCAAAAAACTCCATACTACGAATTTACTATTTTCGGCCAGCTCTTCTCCAACGTATTGGCATCTACTTCGTTTTCATCGTCAGACTCGATTTTTTTCATTCTCATGCTTCATCTTATCAACCAACTCTCAATTTTGAAATTATCAGTGACTAATTTACCGCAAAAAATTGTCACTATTCAAGACAGAATAAATTTCATGAATAAATTCACATCCTTCCATGCAAGACACAACCAACTTTGGAGGTAAAATAATTCAATACATTTTTTATTTATAACCGTTGATTAGAATAATGTAACGTGAATTTGAGTTATAGATTTTCATTAGCTGTAGAAAATACATTCAACCGTATGTTTCTGATTCAAATGGTTCCTTGTATTTTTGGTCTAGGAACGCAGGGTTATCAATTAATATCGGTAATTGATTCTTAATACACGGAAATTGTAAAACTTAAACATTGTATCCACATATTGTTTCAGAATATTATTCAAGAACATACACCACTTGTAGAGTTAGTTTTTATGATTTATTTTTTGGTTTTATTTTTATTTACCATTTTTACATACTGCTACGTTGCTGAATTACTGCGACGCCAGAGTTTGGAAATAAGCGATGCAATATTTGCATGCAATTGGAGAATATTAAAATCAAGAGAGATAAAACTTCTTGCATTTGTTATGGCCAGAGCACAAAAGCCTTTTGAGATCACTGTAGGAAAATTCGCCAATTTTTCACTGCAGCTGTATGTTCGAGTATGTTCAGTTGTTAGTTTGGAATTATTACATTTATTCATGTCCAGCATTTGAAATAATATCATCCTTTTTCATTTTTTCTGTCAAAAAATGGTAAAGTAATCATTTTCACACTTGATTTTATTTCAGTCGTTTTAATAATTAATTTAACCATATTATTACCTTCAAAATTTATTGAAATAATGAATTGATTTTAGATATTAAAAACATCTGCTGGGTATTTATCAATGCTGCTAGCTGTTAAAGAAAAGATAGATACTTAAATTTGAAATATATTTATGAAGAAACAGAAGATTTTAAGCATACTGTAGTAAAATGGATATTTTAAATAAAATTAATCATTATATTAATCAATATTTTCATGTTCATGTAGACTATTGTCTTCTCATAGTCTATTCCGTTTGATCATCTTTTGTTTGAAATTTTACAATTTATTGTTTATTACTTCTACAGATTTGAAACTTCAAGTCTCTTTTTACACTATTAGTTGCACAAATTTTTAAATTTTATTTTCACAATTATCTACGGCGGGATTTTTTTAAACTCGTCCGCATTATGAACATTTTTACTAATTATGTTTAAGCACTAATTTCATTAAAATATGTCAGATATGAGTGCACCAAATAATCGTATAACAATAACTCATTTAACAATTGATACATTTTAGTTTTAAAATCGAAAAGTAGATATAAGAAATTGAAAATTGTATAGAAGACTACATTCGTATACATAGAATAAGAGTATTTTGGCTCCAATTGAATCAATAAAAAATGTGCTTGATTCATTTACATTTAACAAAAATGAAACCTTAAAACTCTATGAGTAGTTATTAAATACAGTAAAGTGATGCAAATACGTGATTTTCTCATAATTTATTCCATACGTATAGCAATGCTCGTTGTTTACTGCTCACTCATTTGTATTAATAATCGATTTATTACATTGCGAGATTCTAAAAGTACAAGGGTGCATCGTTTGAGGTATAATTACATACTTTTTTCTCATAGCAGCTATATTCATAAAGTAATTTTGAACAAGTAACATTTCAGCCCTTGCGTTGGATTTCTAAAAATCGGAAAAAAGATAAATATTTCAAACAGAGCAAAAATGCCAGACCAAGCAGGTAAAATTAGAGCATTTCGAATTTCGATTATTATTTGAGTGATCGTCAAATATAATTCACTTTTTGACAGATTATTCATTTGCAATTGGCCCATGCCGTACCGGATTACGCATTTTTGGTTCTTGGCCAGATCCAATCATTCCACTAACTCAATTGGATATATTTAGATCTATTATTGTTTCCTTAACGATCCTGATATTCGGATTCATTCCTCAATTATCGATGGCTATTATAGTTGCAAATGCTAGAGATTGGAACGGAGTCATCGAAATTCTAACCACAGCAACTGTGCCATTTGTAGTTTCTTTAACGAAATTCAACGTCAGTTGTTATCAACGAAATGGTACGTAACATCTCATTATTTAATTTTCATTTGAATGTTTTAAAAAAAGTTGATAATTTTTATTATACATGCAAAAAGTATTGAAGACTCTGACAACGATGATGAAAGATGACTGGAATGATTACCACTTAGATGCAGACTTAAAATTCATGCAAGAAAATGCTGGCTTAGGTCGGAAAATATCCCAAATATGCTTGTTTTTAGCTTTGAGTGTAGTGATACCTCATTGTTTATTGACGACAGTTATCTACTTCGTGAATTGGGGCGAATACGGTGATCTGTGCTTAATATCTTACTTCCCTTTTGAAACTAACCGACGACCAAACTACGAGATCATCTTAGTAGGACAATGTTTTTCTCTGATATTTGGAGCCTCAACTCACGCAATTATTGACGGCTTCTTCTCCATTTTGGTTCTACATATTTGTTCTCAATTTAAAATTCTTCAACGACAGTTAAGTCAACTAATTGAAAATTGTCGCGACGCTCAGCATGAAAAAAGTTTTTTTGAGATGTTACCTAAAATCATTGATAGGCACGATCAATTAAATAGGTTTTGATGGCAATTTATTACTAGCATAAAAATTACGCTTGAATGTATCATTAAAGCAAATAACTGTTTTCAGATTTGTATCTTTAATCGATGATTCGTTCAACCTTATGTTTTTGGCGCAAATAATGGCAACTGCAACTTCTTTGTGCTTTCAAGGATATCAGCTTGTCATGGTAACCATATTTTAGCAAAAGATTAATTCAAAACATCCAAATAAAAAACATATTATAATTCGTTAGGTCACGAGTGCGAGTGAAAATGGAATATCCGTGTTAGAATTAACTCAGTTAGTCTTTTTCATCGGTAGCTACTCATCCAGTCTTTTTGTGTATTGTTATGTGGTAGAAAAGCTGAATTACGAAGTAAATTTTCTTAATAAATATATAAAGTTACATGTAAATACATGTATATATAACATAATCAACTTAAAATTGAATTCTTTAGAGCTACCAACTCGTTAATACAATATTTAGTAGTGGGTGGTATGACTTACCTTCGAGTGTAACAAAAAATCTCATGTTACTAATGTGCCGTGCCCAAAAACCATTGGAAGTGACAGCTGGAAAATTTTGTTACTTTTCACTGGAATTTTATTGCAGAGTTCGTATTTTTAATTTTTTAAGTTACATTATGATAAGCCAATTTTTCAATATTCTTTTGTAGATTCTAAAATCAACCGGAGGATACATTTCTATGCTTTTAGCTGTTAGAGATCGATTAGCTGAAGAAAATCAATGAATATTTACCTGAAAATGGATAATTAATCAGTAGTTGTTTATATTAGTTTTTAATCAATTTTCAAGTAACTAGATTCAACTTTGCCAACTGAATGCAAATAAAATAGAAATATTATTCAACGCTCATGTATGACCAATGATGTTCCCTTTGCTATGAAATGCAGTCTTGCGCAGTTCATGAAAAGTACATCACTGCACTTTTCATATAGATTAACAAACTGTGTTATTAAATGACAAAAATACGATAAACATGATTCATAAACAGGCAACGTACTTAAAAGTCCAGCGAAATGACGAAAGCAGTAATTGCAACCTCTACTATTATGTGGTTTTCTGATACTTCGTTTGTGCGCTTGAAGTATTTTTTTCAATAATACGATAAAAGAATCTTATTATAAACTTCGAAGATGCTAGTTTGCTTATTACATCGTTGCACGTAAAAACGCATTGATAAACGTTATAATTAAGAAGTTTATACTCGAGTAAACTAACTTTAATTAGAGAATCATCGGATTCTTTAGAATAAAATCATTATTGACTCTTTTTTTTTAGTAACAAATAGGAGAAGCAAGAGTTAAGAATGAAAGAAAATGCACGTATGTACTTTATTGATGCACTCACATGAAAAATTAATCGACTTGTTATAAGTTATTTTTTTAACACAATAATATCAAACTCAGATTACGCTTTGGCTATCGGGCCTAGCCGCTGGTTCTTACGTGTTTTGGGAGCTTGGCCAGATCCTGTACTGCCACGAGATCTTTTCGCGATCATTTTGTTTACAACTGGTTCATGTGTGATGACCTTTTTTACAATTATACCTCAAATTATTAAGCTTTGCATGGTCCTTGGCGATTTGAACGAAGTGATAGAAATTTTAACAACTTCCCTTTTACCGACCATTACGTCGCTGTCAAAATATGCAATTTTTTTCTATCAGCGAAAGGGTGAGATAATTTTTGTCTATGAAAATGGTTCAAGTTTTAATAATCATACGGTTGAAATAGTTTTGAAAAAACTCAACATCTCAATCTTGGAGGACTGGAGTTGGAATCAAGAGCGCAGCCCTAAAGATCTGCGGGTGATGCAACACAATGCCACGCTAAGCCGTAAATTTTCACTGGTCTGCTTGTCATTGACCCTGGGCATAGTCTACGCACAGTGCATTATGAAAGCCATTCATGGACTCAAGACCAGAGACGAGGAAGTTCGAGATCTTTACATGGTCTCGTATTGGCCATTCAATATTCAGCAGAGCCCTCACTTCGAGATAGTTTGGCTGGGTCAATGTATCGCTAATTTTTATGGTGCGTCGACGCTGTCATCGGTGGACGCCTTCTTTTCCGTGCTCGTGCTTCACTTGTGCGGACAGCTCACCTTGCTGCGCCATCAAATACTTCAACTTGTTAGCGACCAGGTTAACGAACCCGATCAAAAAGCCTATATTAAATGGCTGGCATTGATCGTCGAGCGGCATGATCATCTCAATGAGTAAAGCTTCTGATTCGGGTTTTTTTTTAATTTGTATTAATTTTTTTATTTTTCGCTACAGCTTTGCCAGTGCCATAGAAGATTCTTTTAACATGATGTTTCTAGCTCAAATAATTACTACTGCAGCTGCATTAGTGGTGCAAGGATATCAACTTATAATGGTAAGACATCGAAATGTACCATGTTATGATAGTATAAACAGAAAAACACTACTATTGTCCTTGATTTAACTTCAGGTAACCACTAATACCGAGGATGGCATCTCACTTTTAGGAATCATGTACCTGTTATTATTCGTCAGTAGCTTTTCTTTTAGTTTGTTTATTTATTGTTACGTTGCTGAAAAGTTACGTCAAGAAGTAAGTTTTTACATGAATAGTTATTTATTAATTGTAATAATAATACGATCGATTATTTAATTTATTTTTTGTATAGAGTACAGATATAGTTTATGCCGTATACGATAGCTTTTGGTACAACATGCATAATCCGAAAAACGTAAAACTACTGTTTTTACTAATGTTTCGCGCTAGAATTCCATTAGAAATAACAGCTGGAAAATTTGTAGCCTTGAGCTTAGAATTATACTGCAGCGTTTGTATTGAATTTTAATTTTCATTGAACTTTTTCATTCTAAAATAAAAAATTTGCAATTATTGAAACAATTTTTAGATTTTAAAATCAACTGGAGGGTATTTATCAATGTTATTAGCTGTGCGAGATCGAGGATCTGAAAATTAGTAAAATAATTTCAAATGTTAGTAGGACTTGTCAATATTCTTAATTAAATATTATTAAAGCAGAGCATTTTTATGGTTATTTATTTTTAAGTTACTTAAAAAATGTGTGTAACTACAGTTGACCTCTATGTGCAAGTAAGTCGTGGAAGGACAATTGATGGAGTGTCCATTAACATAGGGGGGCCAATAGTTTCAAATTAAAATGAGTAATTTATCAAACAGGAACGGAGCTAAAAAAATTTTAGTCCACAGATCGTCCTCTTTTCAAGCTAGAAATACAATGGCAGGAAAAATTATAAAATTGTTGGATTACGAGAAGTAAGTATAGAAGAAACCTGTGTAATTAAAAATAGGTATAGAATCCGGGGTTGTGAATTCCTAGTAACGAACTACTTTAAAAACTTAGCGTGTGAAACTTACACTTAGATTCTGAAAGGATGCCGGGCTGTCCAAGAAATTGCAAATTGATGATTTATCACAATGGATCAATGGATCTAGTACTTCAATGTCGGGTCGAGGTTAATTCTTATCCCCTTACTTATAGCAATAGTAATGGCAATGAAAATAACCAATTTAAAAAAGATATTTTTGATTTCAGTAACAGTTCACATTGCATAAGCTTGTGATGGGGTAGAAATATTGTCGCAATTACTTTATTTTGTTTGTAAAACGTTTTTTGTATTGTTACATAGAGCAATATGCGTCACCCTGGAAACATTCATTAATTCCCTTTTAATTATACGTTCTTAAGCTTGCAATTATATTATTTTCTTTTTAAATATACTTTAATTGTAAGGTTCGTAACAAGATTGGATTCGTTTAGTCTCTTATCAAATTAAATAATTTTCCAATTATATTTAATACACAAATAATGCTTCCATGAATTCTTTAATTTGATTACCAAGAGAAGATAGATTGAATGATTTTCATAAGTATAATAGTTGTGAAGAAAAACTGTCAAAAATGACAGGTCCAGAAGGTTTCCACATTTTGTAATTCTAAAAATAGATTTTTTTTCATTAAATATGTTACATTAATTATGTTGACAGGGCTTAATTTTTCGGTTGGACCAAGCAAGTTTTTTCTGTCTTTGCTTGGAATTTGGCCTGATATTAAAGGAAAACAAAATTGGATGAAAAATGTTCATTTTTTAATTCCAGCATTTATAATGTTTTATTTTTGTTTATTTGTTCAAACAATTAAAGCAATACAAGTCAGAAGTAATTTGAATGCAGTTTTGACTATTCTAACGACATCAGATATATCGGTTACAATTGGTTTGGTAAAATTAGTCAGCTTGTGGTATCACAGGAAAGGTATATTACATACTTTTTTTTCATTTTACAATTTAATAAATAAAAAAACATTTCTTACAATACCTTGTTTGTCTTGTTAAACATTTTGATAGATTCTTATTAATTAATTTGAATCAATTGAATTAACGGTAATGGCTTTTCACCAGTTTAGACATCTAGCTTTTTAGTATCGAATCTGAATCTTTCTTCGTAACTTTGAAGAAACAGTCAAACACCATATTTTTCATAACTATTTTCTTTTGTAATTTTTATAAGAAAAGAGCAATGCCTGAATTTTTGCAATAAAATATCTATTATATTTAAAGTACTTAGTAATCTTATCAACTTCATGACTGAAGATTGGAAAAATTCGATTGGGTCAGAGCTTGAAATCATGTGGAAAAATGCTAAACTTGGGCGATTGACATCCATTACTATTATAGCTTTAGCAGAGGGAACTATCGTTTCATACGCGGTGCAATCTTGCTTACTTATTATGAGCAATGTTAAACAACAAAAGTTAGAATATAATGCAACAGTATATCGACCGCTTTACTTCGATGGCAATTTTTTATACGATGTTCAAAAGAGTCCGATTTTTGAAATAATATGGATTTTCCAGTTTTTATCATCGTTTTTTGCTGCCTCTAGTTTTTCGGCGGTCGATGGATTTTTCAGTGTTTTGGTATTACATTTATGCGGACAGTTGCACAATCTAAATGAATACATTCGAATGTTTTTGAAAGAAACGAAGACAGAAACTGATGAATTTTTTATGAAGCAGTTAGGGAAAATCGTCAACAGACATGAACAACTGAAAATGTGAGTTTTCATCATTTATCATACTTTTGATTATTTATAAAATTGCTATTTTGTAATAATAGGTTTTCTGATTCTATTGAGAACTCGTTTAATTTCATGTTCTTACTCCAATTATTAACTACCTCGTTGGTATTATGTCTTCAAGGATATCAATTTGTATTGGTAATTATTTATTTCTATTTAATTTCAATTTAATCTTTTGAGAATAGGAAACCATAAATACGAATTCAATGAATGTGCGAGTCTGTTTTGATAAAAATTGTAAAACGTATTTCGGTGGCTTCGGATATTAAAGGTTAAAAAATATTATAAATTCATGTGCATTGACTGAACATATTTTTCCAGATTACAACAACTCAAGACACTATGTCTCTTTTTGAATTACTTTTTTTGTTTTACTACATTATGTGTTTTAATTTCAGTATTTTTATGTATTGTTTTGTAGCTGAAATATTGCGAAAAGAGGTAAACCTTATAATTACATTTAAAAATAGTACAGTACATAAGAGAACAAAAAATATTCTGCTTATTTAGAGTATGGATATAGGTAATGCAGTTCTTGAAAGTGACTGGTACGAATTAACTTATCGAAAAGCGAAAAATTTAATTTTGATTATTGCAAGAGCTCAACTACCTTTTGAAATTAGAGCGGGCAAATTTATTACATTTTCTCTAGGTCTTTATTGCAGTGTGAGTTAATACCTTTTGTGTAAAATATATGTTCAATAATTATAAAAAACTAGAATTCATATTGCAGATTTTAAAAAATTCTGGAGGTTACCTTTCAGCACTATTAGCAGTAAAGGATAGAATAGCCGGTTAATAAGTAAATCTCTCGACTTTAGCATATGTTGTAGACAACACACGATAAATAAAATTAATGTTAAAAAAACCATCTCTTTATAAGTTAAGAATAAGTTTTGCTTGATAATAAAAAATTATTAGGAGGACTAGCGGAATTAACACACAGCTTTTATCGGATTTTTTTATGTGAGCAAAAATAATCGTGAATTATGCACTATAAGTTGGCTGCACAGAGGGTGGGAAAAAAATGATTAATTATTAATACACATTTATGATGATGAGCTGGATTAAGTATGTGATGATTGAACATGCGCAATAGCTGAGGGTAAAAATATTTTACCGTAATGAAATTAACAAACCTATTTATGACATCTTTCATGGATGTAAGCTCTATAGTCAGTGCGAAAATTTCTAAAATCATTAATTTATCTTCATTTAATTCCGACGCATATATGATGAGTGATACCATGGAAAATAAAGAACTTGAAGCAGGTATTAAAATGTGTCGAATTGAAATGGAAATTTTAGGTGCATGGCCTGATACAAAGTATAATCAGTGGTACTTGAAATTCCGTTACCTGGTACCAATATTTTTGAGCGTATTTTTCATAAATATTCCTCAAACAAGGATGCTCATAATTGTCAAAAATAATTTAGATGATTTATTAGAAATATTAACGACAGCAGATTTAATCGTTTTCATTGCTTTGATAAAATTCTCATCGATCCTGGCAAAACGAAAAGGTATTTTTTATTGATAAGTATATTTTTTAAATAATGAAACAAGTTTTTGTTTGTGTAAAGATCTAATGGTTTTACTTAATAAAATGAGAATTGATTGGAATACAGCTGATAGAAATCATAAATACGAAATGAGAAAAAGTTTAATTTTTAGTAAACTCTTAATGAGTTGTTACAATGTCTGCACTTCTGGGACCATAATTATATACGCAGCCAGCAGGTTTCTAGTTTTAAGGCAACACAATGAAGAAACAAGATGTTCAAACACAACTTCTATGAAACCAATGTTTATAAAAAGCAAATTTTTTTTTGAAACAGAATATAGTCCAATGTTCGAAATAATTTGGATTGGACAATTCATCGCGGCTTTTGTAGCCAAGATGGCGTTTGTAACTTACGATGGTTTTTTCATTTTTTCCATTCTGCATTTGAGTGCTCAATTGATTAATTTGAAGATTGATTTTAGATCATTGCCAGTTGAAGAAAGTGGCCAAAATTTTACCCAGTCATTAAAATGTTTAGTACAAAAGCATTGGGACTTGAAAAAGTAATAATTAAACTATCTTACACGCTTAAATTGAGTAAATTAAATAATTGTTGCTTTTCTCAAAGATTTAGAACTTTAGTCGAGGAAAATTTTAATCAAGTTTTTCTTGTACAAATGATGTGTTACTCTGTAACATTATGTTTACAAAGCTACCAAATAGTGACTGTACGTAATTATAACTCAATAAATTTCTATTTACGTAAAGTAAAAGTCATAATATGACATAAAATAAAATTATGACATTAGATTTTAACAGGAGAATCTGAGAAAAATTCAGCAACTTTAGAATTTATTGTCATTTTTACCATATCAAATATACTGAGTCTCTTCATGTATTGCTACATGGGAGAAAAATTAAGTACAGAGGTGCTTGCTTTTTTTAGATAATCATAAGTGCCTGTGAGTTTAATGCCGTTTTAGAATTTTCTATAACTTGTAGAGCTCTGGACTTCATTACGCTGTGTATGAAATTGAATGGTACAGGCTGAAACCAAGTGAATCTAAGTTACTAATGATTGTAATGCATGGTACAAAAAAACCTCTCGTAATAACCGCTGGAAAATTTACAAACCTTTCGCTATCATACTTTATGCAGGTTCGTATATATCTAGATGCTACATTAATTGACCATTGTAAAATTTAAAATTTGATTAAAACAGATTCTGAAAACGGCTTCGGGATATCTATCAATGTTGCTAGCAGTACAGGATCGGCTCTGATCACTATTAGAATTGACTGTAATTTTTTAGCCTGATAATTAGTATATTTAACTAGCATTAAAAAACTTTCCACTGTATTATGAATATTCAAACATGAGCATCGAACAATTGTTTTGAAATGATTTCATGGATATATTAATATTAATTTTAATGAAATATAGTATTCGAACCAGATCAATTAATGAAAAAATCGAATGCATATAAAGTTTACGTTGTTTCCTTTGATGGTAATAATTCATTTAATTTTTAATGATCTTACTTTTTTAAGGATTGGTAGTTATGTTCTACATGAGCAAGTTTGATGTTTAAATGTTTATAAACTAAGTAAAGCGACCTACAGGTATGTGGCTATCAGAACAAGCATACTTCATCTATTTTTAAAAACGTTAGAGTGAATGGAAACAATCGCTTCTTATATTGATCATTTGAGGCGCAAGGAAAAAATAATCGACAATTAAATACACATATTAAATGTCGGTTATTATTATTTTTATCACAAAGATACTTCTTTTATGCATTTTTCTTTTACATGATAAAGGAGTAAAATGGCAAATGTGAAAAGAGAAAAAGGTATTATTATATATGTAATTTTAAATATACATTAATAAAATAAATAAAAACAATCTAATAAAATGCATTTTTTTATTGAATGTGTAGGTTTCAAAGTTGCTATGGGTATAGCTGAATCTATAATGCGTTTCAGTGGAATCTGGCCAGGAGTTGAAAAACCAAAGATAAATTATACTCGTTTTACATTTATTCCTGTAATGCTAATGATTCTTGTGTTTGTCAATATTCCTCAAACAATTCAATTATTTTATTTCGATGGAAATTTGAGTGCTATACTAAATGTTTTGACTATGGCTGATGTACCTATAAGTATAGCTCTGGTAAAATTTCTAGTCACTAGTTACAATCATCAAAGTAGGTATAATGAATATATTTTTTCTAGTTATTTTAAGAGTAATAAAATTATTTTTTTACGTAGCCTTGAATAAACTACTAGTTTTGTTAAACGATGATTGGAAGCATGTTCGAGATGCTTCTGATATTGAAATTATGTGGCAAAAAGCCAAAACAAGTCGAAAAGTTTCGAAAATTTGTATGGTGCTGAGTGCGGGTACGGTGTTTGCTTATTCAGGACGTATGCTCTATGTGCTGTACATTTCGACGCTTACCAATTCAGAAGATAATGTTGATAAGCAGATTGTACGCCCTTTATATTTTTCGGCCAAATTTTTCTACGATACACAGAAAACTCCCAACTTCGAAATCACTTGGATTCTTCAAATGATAGCTGCATTTTTATCAGCATTGGCTTTTGGATCGATAGATTGTTTGTTTATTAGTTTCATTTTGCACTTGTGCGGTCAATTGGTTATTCTACAAAGAGCTTTTGAAAAAATCGGAAGCGATGATGTTTTGACTGATGCCAATTTTGATTATACAATAGCAAAATTGATTAAAAAGCATAACCGAATAAATGAGTAAGCATGGATTTAACGAATGCCAGATTTCTTACCACTTTAATTCCCATTTTTTTAGGAGTGTTCATTATATTGAAACAAGTTTTAATAAATCCATCTTATTTCAAGCGCTTTCTTCGTCGATTTTGTTCTGTTTCCAAGGCTACTTATTCATTATTGTAAGTTTTAACCATTTTTTAAATGAATTCTAATAAATAAAATATTGTATTTTATAGATATTGTCTACTGCTAAAGATACAGAAGCCTTAATTGAAGTAACATTTATGCTGTACTTCACTACATGCTTCATGTTCAGCGTTTTCATATATTGCTACGTAGCAGAATTTTTAGTAGATGAAGTATGCATAAGTCGTATATGAGTATATACGTATATGAGTAATTCTCGTATCATTTTAAAATTCGGCATACTGATGCATTACTCAACTGACTCACATAGCACACTGAAATTTTAGAGGGATATTCTGTAATCTCTGACAACTTTTTTACGTGCGATCTCAAGGGCAGGGTTTTGAATACAGTGAAATGGAAAAATCAATTTTATACTTGAGATAAATTTCGTACTCCAACAAAAAATAATATAAAGGATTGTACAGTTTCATCCATTCACGGATTTGTAATCATCTTTTCAATTTTGATTTTGACTGAAATTATTTCCTAAAGTCATCATAGGAAATAATCAGTATGATTCAATTTATAAACAAATAGTTGTTCAGCAAACTAATATCAAAGCAATGGATGTTGGTGTAGAGGGGTTTGACGATATCCAAAAAGCTAATGTTTTGAAACTTGTCACAACTTGAAGAGAAAGCGAGTGAAGAAGCCCATGAAATTGTTTACAATATAAAGTTTACGGAAAAATTACTATTACAGATAGTACTCCACTCAATTGTTCATCAATTGCTATAGCTCGTTTTTTTAAATTATGCGAGAATTACTCATATTTCAAATTAAACGTATGTAGCATTTAAAATTTTTTCAGAGTTTAAAATTAAATTATTCAATATTTTACTGCAAATGGTATAATTTACCAGTGAAAAAAAGTCGATTACTTATAATGTGTTTGCTAAGGGTCAGGAAGCCTCTTCAAGTTTCAGCCGGAAAATATGTTTTTTTATCATTAAACTTATTTTGCCATGTAAGTCATTCAATTTTTATACTTTTTACTTTATTTTTTATCATTTTGACTCAATCGTTTCAGATTGTACGTACTTCAGCAGGTTATATATCGGTACTGCTGGCAGTACGAGAAAAGTTATTTATACAATGAATTAGTCATCCTAGCAGAAATATTCAATAAAATTTAGAATGAACATTAAACTCAAAATTTTTTATTAAATGAATTGAAAATCTGAATAAGTATTACAGAAACTTACATTTAAGTGCGCGCAAACGATGCATTAAAAAGGTGAAAACTTTTCAATATGTGTCGATGTATAAGTTATAATTGAATCTTTCCCCTATGCCTCGTGAAACTTTATAAATATTATCTACCACTTCGTTCATAGAGAAAGAAAAGAATATTCCCCTAAACTGAAAGAGAAAATCAATTTTATGAACTTTAATCCTCCAATAAAAATAAATTCTATCATTACGTAAATTCAAAATGAAAAAATTATATTGAAAATTCCGTTCATGCTTACGAAAAACATAATACATTAAAATGTATTAAATTAATTCAATGATGTGACGATGTTTTTCAATCTGACTCATTTATAATAATTATCAGTCTAAAATCTTTTTAATTAAGAAAAATTTTATGCAAGCAAACATCCGCCAGGGAAAATTATTAAGACTAGACTTTAAAATTATGAAATTGATGTTTATCAGATATCACACCTTATATCGACTTTTATGTATAGAGAGCAATCAACTATCTGAAAGCGTGAAAGAAATCGAATGTGTAAATCAAAACTATACATAATGAGATAAACAACAGCTATTATAGTCTATAACTTTTACATTCAATCGAACTTAATAAGTACTGGTAGGTTAACTTTTCACACAATGAGACTGAAAAGAGTATTATATTTCTGTGAGTTTCAAGATTTTCTTTTTAAACAGTGTTACACTGAGACGATTAAAATTATTTCACTTTGTTAAACAGATTGAGAAGGCTTTATTAAAATGTCTGACGATAATCTTGGTACATTTACTACAATACAACATTATTTTTATTTTAATTCGAATTATTTTAATATTAATAACTTTTAGCGGGATATGAAGAAAGCATCAGCGCTATACGTTTTATAGCTAGAATCAATGGATTATGGCCCTTTGATAAAGGAGCACGTCAATATCAATGTGCCGTTCCTGCATGTTTAATAATTTTTTTTATCATAATTCCGCAAACCACCAAAGCTATTTATTCTCGGAATGATTTGGACACCGTTGTAGAGGTTCTTTCAACGTGTGAACTTATCGAAATTGTTGTATTACTGAAGTTGTTTGGTTTATTGTATAACAAACGAGGTAAATTGCATCACTATTTTTATTCAAAAAAATAATAAAAAGTTTTTTATGCAATAGTATGACGAAAAATGTCTTTTATAGCACTGTATGGCATAGGTTCACATTTATGGCACGCTTTTCTGTGGCACAAGTCGCACATTCTGGCACCGCTGCGTTCGCATTACACTCGCATGCGCTCGTGCGCTAACCTCACTTCGCGCTACCAGAAGTGCGACTCATGGCTCGGAAAAGGGGGCATAAATGTGAACTTTACACAGTACTATAAAATGTTGTTCGATACTCGGGCCATGGGGGACACTTTTCGGCCCAGCTATTAGGACCCTCGCTGCGCTCGGGCCCTAAATTACGCCATGCCAAAAAGTGTTACTTATGGCCCTTGTATCGAAAACTACTATTTTCGCACATTTTTTAGTGCGCAAAAAGCGTTTTTGGACACTTGTGTGCGGTAAAATGCCTCGTTTCGTTACTGGTGTTCGGTAAAGTGCCTCATTTTGGACACGGGTGTGCGGTAAAACGCCTCGTTTAAATGAACGTATTTTTCGCCTACTATTGCATAATAGTTATTTATGTAACAAGTGCCCAAAAGGCGTTTTTGGGCACGAGTGTGCGGAAAAAGACACGAGTGCCGGCTATGCCGGCACGAGTGGGTGTTTTTTCCGCACACTGTGCGCAAAAAGCTGGGCACGTGTTGCATACAAAATTTTATGCAATAGTAGACGAAAAGTACTTTCATTTAAATGAGACGTTTTACCGCACACCCGTGTCCAAAATGAGACATTTTACCGCACACGAGTGTCCAAAAACGCTTTTTGCGCACTAAAAAATGTGCGGAAAAAGACGTTTTTCGTCATACTATTGCATAAAATTTTGTATGCAACACGTGCCCAGCTTTTTGCGCACAGTGTGCAGGAAAAACACCCACTCGTGCCGGTATAGCCGGCACTCGTGTTTTTTTCCGCGCACTCGTGCCTAAAAACGCCTTTTGGGCACTTGTTACATAAATAACTATTATTATTTCAAATTTCAAACTTGTGTAATTTGCAGATTTTCAAAAATTGTTAACACAAGTAGAAGATGATTGGAAAATTTCATTCGAATATGAACAAAAAATCATGTGGAGCAATGCAAGATTCAGTAAATTAGCGGCAATTTTTTGTGTCATTGCCACAGCTGGTTCCGTTATTTTACATTCTTTTTTATTTTTACTCTCAGTTAATTCTATAAATAAATCAGAATACAATAACTCAACACCAGTTATTTATCAGTTGTTTATCAAATCTCATTTTCCATTTGAAACTCAAAATAGTCCAATTTATGAAATCATATGCTTCAGCCAATTTTCTGCCGCTTTTCTCAGTACCTTCGTTTTTTCTACATTTGATGGATACTTTTTCTTGTCAATACTTCATTTTAGTGGACAGTTGTACAATTTAAAATATAACGTTTATAATTTGATAACTCAGGACTCGATTCAGAACAAATCATTTACTAGAAAACTGGCTGTTGTTGTTTGTAGACATCGTCATATAATGAGGTAAAATTTATTTTAACGAAGTTAAATATTATCATATCTGAAATCTTTAATTTTTCAGCTACATTGACCTAATTGAAAATAATTTCAATTTAATATTTCTTTTACAAATATTTTCATCCACTGTTGTTCTTTGTATGCAAGGATACCAATTCGTATTGGTGAGATACTTATAACTCAGTGAATGAATCATTAAAACTTAAGGAATGATATGTTTTAGATCATTTCTCAGGGCACAAGACTGTTCACCAGTATTGTATTCATAATATTTTTCATGTGTTCATCGATCATAAGTATATTTGTATATTGTTACATCGCCGAAATTATTCGGACGGAGGTATGGTATATCTGTTGCCATTTTCAGTGGTTTGCATATCCAAAAAAGTTTTTCATCAGCAAACTTGAAAATTTTTTTTATGATACCATGACAGTCATCAAATTACATTACAATTTTTAGGATCGTCTATCATTATTTTTCAGTGTTCGGAGTTGGAATTTGTTTGAAATCCATGCTCATTGCAAATATGTTAAAATTTCCTAGCTCAGCATAAAGTGACTTAAAAAAATGGTGCAAATTTTAAGAAAAAAAATATTCCAAAGAAATCTGAGCACTCTAGAATCTTGCTGCATTATTTTAAAAACGTACCTGATGCCTATTTTATAAGAGAGTAATTTGGCACCTTTTTGCTTATGAGCTTAAAGAGATACCTTTTCTTCTCCAAAGCGACGACATACGATCCCAAAAATTGTAATTAGATGTTGGGACTTATATGGTATCCAAAACTAATTTTTATGTTTGCAGAAACAAAATTATTTGGCCATTCGATTTTACTCGGCCGTGTATATTAACCAAATCTGAAAAATTTGAAAATTCTTTTTACGTTTGAAAAAAACTTAGTTCTCAATTTTGTTTAATGTATTACATAAATGTTTTTTTCTTGCAGAGCGACAATTTACTATATGCTGTTTATGAAATTGATTGGATAAACTTAAAATCTCGAGATGCAAATTTACTTCTAATTTTTATGAGCCGACTAATTTTGCCTGTAAAAATAACAGTTGGAAAATTAGTACCTTTTTCACTTGAATATTTCACGACGGTATACGAGAATTTTTTATAGATATCACTTTTTAAAAATAAAATAATGTACAAATTTTTCACGATAGGTAATGAAAACATCTGCTGGTTATTTGTCCGTATTATTAGCTGTTGCCAAAGATTGATCATAAAAACTTTAAATGAAAATTATGTAGATCTTGATCGTTTGTTGCAATATTAATTAAAAACCCACGTTTTATGCAAAAATTGGGTATTAGTTCACAGTTACATAATATCACACTATTACTATCAGGCAATAAAAAAAAGTTTCTTTTACAGAGAATAACAAATACCTTTTAAACTTTTTTTGAAAATTGTTCTTGTCAATCGAATAATCGCGGGTTCGGTTATTCAGATTATTTTCAGTTCTATTTGCGTAATTTTCAAATTGATGATTTAAACATTTCTAATACCTCTGTGGTCGACACAAAATACCCTGTTAAAAGCGCATTACCTCTTAAGGTTTATTTTCAGGTTTTCTTCTTTTCAGAGTATAATGTCGCTTCGATCGTCTAACAACTCTCTTAAAATTTTATAAGCTTTCAAGCATGACGTATCAAATCGTTCGAGGTGTTGAAAAGTGGTATTTGAATCTGCAGTTATGAACGATAACGAGAAAGGTTGAATATTTGATTTCTATAATTTTTAAGTCTATAGTGAATTTTATACAGATTGATTGTTAATAAATTTCAAATTTCTTTAAATATATTTTATATTATTATTATCAGGTTTTGACGAATGTGTCGGAGTTGTGCGGGCCATAATGGGCTTAATAGGCTTATGGCCAATGAAAGAATGGAAAGGTTTCCAAAAATTTCAAACAATCGGGGTGCTGCTGATTTTATTTCTTTGTTCGCTCATTCCACAAGTAACACAACTCTTGATTGGAGATAATGATTTTAATACAGTAATTGAAATCTTAGTTATTATGGTATTGATAGAAATTGTAACGATTGTAAAATTATTTGCTTTGTGGTACAATAATGAAGGTAAAAAATTTTTATATTTTTGATTACTTGATATTAAATTAATTTTGAAATTTTCTTTTACAGGTATGAAACATATAGCCATACAAATTTGGAAAGATTGGCAAGTATCGACTGAGAGTGAAATGCACGTTATGAAAAGTAATGCTCGAAAAACTAAGTTTATTTCAATTTTTTGTATATCGTCAAGTACGGCATCAGCTATGAGTTATGCCACTCAATTTTTTGTCGCCGTCTATACAGATGAAATTTACGTTAATGCCACTCATTTGAGACCATACTTTTTGCAAGCTTATTTTCCTTTTGGTTCTCATTATAGTCCAATGTATGAAATAATATGTTGCTGGCAAGTCATTGCTGCCCTCGTTAGTTGCCTCGTATTTTCATCGTTTGATGGATTCTTTATATTTTCCATACTTCATTTTAGTGGTCAATTACGCATTTTATCAAAACGCATGAGAAATCTAGTTGAAGAGTATCACTCTGAAAAATCACTTTTTCCAAAATTACTCGAATCAGTAATTCGCAAACATCTTTTCATAATAAGGTGTGACTTTTTTTTTAAATTTCATTCATTCTGGTTAAATAGATTTTATAACAAAATTATCAACGCAGAAATACGGACTCCATAGAACATAATTTCAATAAAATATTTTTAACGCAAATAGTTATTACATCTTTTCTGATTTGTTTACAATGGTATCAACTGGCAACAGTAAGTTTTATAAATCAGAAGTTTTTCAAGTGATAAGAATACATTTTAATATCGTTTTTGAATATTTTTCAGATATTGACAGATAATGGACCAATCGATGTAGGAAATTTAATTTTCATTATTTGCTTCGTAGTCGGCAACATGTTCAGCATATTTATGTTATATTTTATAGCTCAGAAAATTCATAATGAAGTTAGTTTAAGAAATTTAATTTTCAATCAATACTATTTAGAAGATTTTGAATACATTTTCTTTCTTTCAGAGTAAAAGATTATTACACTCTGTTTATGAAATGACGTGGTATGAACTTTCACCAAAATATTCACGGTTATTGCTCATTTTAATGAATAGATTATCTTTACCCATTCAAATTACTGTCGGTAAATTTGCACCATTTTCATTAGAATATTTTGCAATTGTACGTAATTCAATTGTACTTTTTTAATATTAAATTTATTCAGTAATAATTTTGAAAACCTTGTTTTTGCAGTTAGTCAAAACTTGTGCCGGATACTTTTCTGTATTGATTGCCGTCAAAAATAAATTAAATGAAAATTAAGCTCAGTTTGAAAACTGGATGTATTATAAAATTACTAATTATAAAATTTAACTCTTATTGTTACTGACGTTACATTTAAATTGAAAAATTTTCAAGACAAAATTTAAGTTACTAGCAATTCGATCATAGTTGTATGTTCAATTCACTGTAATGGTATTTAATGATTTTCCTTGCTATATATTTTTTCCGCTTATTCGTCCAATAGATAAAAGTAAAGTAATAAAAGTAGTTACTATAAATGTCTTGATGTATATTGATTAAATTCATTGCCTAGAAATTTAGAGGGTTCAGTCTTACATATTTAAAAGCACTGATCCGAAAATACAATCAGCTATCGAGTAAGTGATACAAACTTTTGTAAGCTCAACAGTATAACTCGGAGCATGCGCTTTAATAGGAAAATAGACTTTTAGACAATTTCGCTTTTCAATTGTTGCCATCATCATGGGCGGAAACAAAGGTATTCATTTTATCTTATGTAAAAATTAATATTTAATAATTAAAATTAAAGTTTTACTTTTTAGGATTTAGTTATGCTTTTGGGTTTTGTAACGTAACTCTTTTCATAGTGGGATTATGGCCCAAATTGAAAAAATCAGAGAAAAAAGATTGGCTTTCAATTATTTCTTTTATTTTTTCACTATGCATAATAGTTATTTTTATAAACATAGCTCAAACAACAAAGTTAATAATCATTTGGGGAGATTTTGTTGAAATGATAAATAATATTTCAACTGCAAATTTGCCAATTATGGTAGCAGTTATCAAAATGTTCATTTTTCAATACTATAAAAACGGTATGTCTTTAAAAGATTTAATCCTTTTTTCACTCCAATTTTTACGTTAAACAATCATTTTTATTTAATTTTTTTTTTTTTTTTTTTAATCAAATATCACTAAGTTCTGGGCTGTTTGCTATCAAAAGCTATGATAGATTGGCAATCGACTAAAACTCAAGAACAAGAAAGTAGCATGTATGAAAATGCTAGAGTAGTAAGAAAAATCTCCATGATTTGCTGCGTACTAGGTTTCAGTTCAGTTACCGGACATTTAATGATTCGTATATGCCAAGAGCTGGATTTTATACCAAATTATGAAAAAAAACGCGAACCCATGGTCAGCTCGTATTTTCCGTATGACTACAAATCTAGCCCAACCTACGAGATTACTTGGTTTTTTCAGTATTTAGGGGCTGGTCTTGCAACATTAGTGTATTCGGGCTCACATTGTCTGTTTGTTGGATTAATGCTTCATTTGAGAGGACAAGTAAAAAATTTGAGTAACACTTTTAGAAACAATAGGACACGCATAAATAAACACGAAAGACAAGATAGTAAACTTTTCAAAAACTTCATAAAGTCTGTTGTCATAAGACACAATGATTTGTACGAGTAAGTATAACGATTTTAAAAAACAATTAATTATGATTTATGTTAGATAATTCTCAACATTTATTTGCTTACTGATAAGTTCGGCCATGAAAATTGAAAAAGTTTTTAGTAAGGTGTTTTTTGTTGAACTTCTTACCTGTACTATTCAGCTTTGTCTGCAAGTATTTTTATTGATGCTCGTAAGTTCCATTATATTAATGTAATCATTAAATAAAATCGCTCAAAATTCCTCTTGTATTACTCAAGCATGTATCAGAGCGAAGTAAAGGATTGCATTTTCAAATTATATTTATGGTGGTTTACGTATTGCACATAGGCACTCACATATTTATATGCTGCTATGTAGCAGATAAACTTCAAGATGAGGTATTAAATCAAAATGAAAATTGAATTAAACATTTATAAATCATTCGCTTTTTTAAAAAATGTTGATACTTTCAAGTGTTTATTATTTGGAAACACTATTTATAATTATGAATGGTATGATTTACCACCCGAAGATGTTCGAGTATTGATTATTATTTTACGTCGTTCAGAATTACCGATGCAAATAACAGCTGGAAAATTTGTAATATTTTCTTTATCTCTTTTTGCTAAGGTAAGTTATTATTATTTTTGCTAAGGTTAATCGTGATGTAGATAATTATTGATGATTTTTTCGACAGATTTTAAAGACATCTGGTGGATATTTATCTATGTTGTTGGCGGTTACAGACATTTAATTAATTCAATTCAAAGAATGCTACCTACACAAATTTAGCACTCCGTAAAATTGTATAAATATGCTACGTAATAAAATAAATTTTTTCTGTAGGAAGTTACTACTTTCTATAAAATGAATAAAAGCCACCCAATTATTTGTCAATTTATTACAAATAAAAATTATTTCATACAGAATCTAACTGATCTTTGTCTTATAATAAGGAATACTTTTTTAAGAATAAGTTAAACCTTTAATTACAGTTCATTAAGTTTCTTTATAATTGTAGTTGAAAATCTTAAATTTTTAAAATTATGGACTTCTCACCAGATAAACGGCTGTACAAATAATTGTAATAATTTAGGAGAACGTTCTTCAATTTACACGGGAGAGCTGATTATGTTTTTAGCCACGATTATTTAGCTAATTATATTGTGCGATTGCATGCACTTCTTATAGAACTAACTAAAATGAACCTAAAGTTCAGCGACTCGTTGAGGATTTTTCTTATTCGAGGCAACTCATATTTGGGCTCTTTACTAGAGAGGCTTTCAATCCGTTTTATGTAATGCTACTTTCGTCCTCATAAAGAAAGCTCTGTGATTTTTTCTTTTAACAATATTGTCGACTACAATCAGTATGATTTTACTAGGGCTGAGCGAGTACTCGAAAAAACTCGACTCGTCGAGTTCGAGTTTTTTCCTCGAGTTCGAATCAAGTACTCGATTTTTTGAGTACTCGAGTTTTTTCAGGTACTCGCGTTTTTGTCGAGTACTCGAGTTTTTCCGGATACTCGAGTTTTTTACAATACTCGCAATATATTTAAGTTTTAAGAAAATAAATGATGAATCAACAGTCTCTAGACCCCTCTCTTTGTGTGTACATGCTTATAAGTGTGATGAGATGTGGTACTATTAAATTATTTTCTTCTTCCAATTCTAGCCGTTGCGAATATCACACTTATAAGCATGTACACACAAAGAGAGAGGTCTAGAGACTGTTGATTCGCTATTTATTTACTTAAAATTTAAATACATTGCGAATACTCGAAAAAAATCGATTATTCGAAAAAATTTGAGTACTCGAATTTTCCCGACTCGACTCGAACTCGACTCGAACTCGGCGAGTTGAGTTCGAATCGAATAAAACTCGAAAAATCGGATACTCGCACAGCCCTAGATTTTACTGATAATTCTCAAAGTTCATAAAACTGCCAGTAGTGACCCTAGGTAGATAGTGCGCTCGTGTTAAGAGATGCGTATAATCCTGGATTTGAAAAATTTCGATTTTTATAGATCATTTTATGTATTTGTATATAGTTTTAAGAGTATCATGTCCCAATTTCAATCCAATTGCGACAAAATTGACGTAAATATCGAACTTTTAGTTTTGATATCTACTGAGATTCTTTATTTTTCGAAAATTTGTTGTGACCTCTTGACGAAATACCTTCACGCCAGTACGTACTTAAAGAATTATTAAGAAACTGAAAAATTTAAAAAAGATCGGTTAAGGAGGTTCGGGAGTCTCAGCGAAATGCAGCCAAATTTTTAAAACACGTTTAATTGCTTTGAAACTTTATAATATGAATGTTAATATCAAAATACAACTTTTCACCGCAAAATTTTGTTAAAGTGATGAAAAAATTTTTTGACCATTTAACATGGTTTCTTACGAGAAATCATGAATTTTCGCTTTCAATGAGCATAAACATAATGTAAAAAAACAAAAACTAAATAGAAAAAAATACGTACATGTAGGAAATTTAATAAGGAATAATTTGACTGCAAAAAGAAGTTCATCGACCGTTTAGTTATCGAGAAATAAATTGTTATGTGTAAAAATTCGTGGGTCATTTGCGCGTACCCTAACCAACAAATGAGCTAGAACAACAAAAATATGTGCTCATTCGACTCTAATGACAAATAGAGTATTGTTTTAAGCCTAAAACATCGAAAAAAACTCATCAAAATGATTGAATTATTAATAATAGCTATAATTGTGTGCCAGCTCATTGAAAAAACCTACAATTTCGTGTTATTTCGAAGTTGGCAGCGCTGAAAATTTAACATTGGAAGTATAGGAGCCCCTCGCGTCCCGCTTCGTCCCCCTCTGAGACTCCGAACCTCCTTAAATGATTTTTGAATTACGTTTCTTATCGATTTTAATAATGTCATTTCGAGAAATGACGTTTTTGAAACGTTTAGAAAGGTCACTTAAAAAGTACCCAACCGATCCTTTTGAACATTTTTTTATTAATCTTTAAAGCAGGTAATGATGTCGAGAGATTAAAAATGACATATAGCGTAGATTAAAAAGTAGATCCTGCCTAGAAAATGTAAAAAACTCCTTTCTGTGATTTAATAAAATTTATGCTTTTGTCATACTTTTGTAAAAGTTTAATCACTAACATGAGGTATTATGTTTTTTAATTATTTCCATATTTTGAAACTAGGAAAAGTAATATTGGTACAATTGTGTTGGACTATAATAATTCAAAGGAGATTGAAATAAATAACATCATTAAATATTGTGTAATTTTTATTAATTTTTTTTTTTTTTTTTTATTAAAATACTTACAAAAACATGTTGACGTCAGTAAAAAATTATTTGCTATTTAAAAATAAAATCATTAACGAAAATGGATTTGTCCGAGATATTTTATAATATGTAAGTTAGGGTAGAGCGAAAAATAGATGTTTTGTAATTTTCTTCCCACGAAAAGTTTTGAAAAATGACCAATGGAACACGTTTTCGCCACAAACGATCATAATTTCACGCACCAAATTTTTTATAACACTACACCATGCCAAAAATGTTACTTGCGGTACTTGTTTCGTAAATTACTATTATAACACAAGAGTTGAAAACTGGCGGTATAGTTGTGATTTTTATGTTGGAGTGCTATAATAACACTATATAGTAAGTAACTCAAAAAGTATTTCATATGTCTCGAGTATTGTATACAATTTTTTAACACTGTACTAAGTTCACATTTATGCCCTCTATTCCAGGATAAGTCACATTTTCTGGCGCTGTAGAATACATTGACTCATGATGTGATGCACACGCCGCAGCGCTGTGAAGTGCGACTTATATTTCGTCAAAGAGGGCATAAATGAGAGCACAGTGACGTAAAATTGGGTGCGATATTCATGCCATAAGTAATATTTTATAGACCCTATATTGTAAATTACTATTCTAAAGTTTTTATTATGTTATTTGCGTAATTTTTTGTTTAAATCTTGATAAATTTTATTATAGATATGCATTCAATGATAATCTCAAGAAACATTTTGGATAGTATTGGTTTTAAAAACGAAGCTTTCTTTTTTACTTAATAGGTGTGTATATATGTGGTATAACTAATGCTGATGCAAAAAACTGGGAAGTCTTAGAGCGCGTGTAATTATAAATCGAGGGGAAGACGAGAAACATACTTTTCTTTCTGGATGCAGGGCCGAAAACAACAGTTTCAAAAAGAGTGTCATGAAAAAATATTTCAATTATTAATTTTTTCGCTTAATCACTATGAAAGAAGCGTTGCATTTATAATTTAATTAATTAATGAATTGGCCATTATCTGAATTTAAAAAAATATGATTACCTCCAACTTACTTACCTGAAAATATGTCTTCTATTGGTTGAAGTCTTCTTAAATGTTTTAAAATAAACTAGTTCGAATCATATTTTTCTCTCTACGAAGTTTCATAACTCTTATCCATATTTGAGACTCCCAGTTCGCCTAAAATCATTGAGAATAATCAATTGAAAAATTATTCAAAGCATAATTTTCATCAAATCATTATGTATTCAAAATACCAAATTTAAAGACAATCACATAAATTAACATATTAATCTTTTTATTATATTTTCTATTGTTTATATTATAATTTCATAAATATATAGAAAATTGGATATCATTTGAAAATACACTCAAAGTATTAATTAATAAGAAATTGGCATAGGTACAATTGAAACAGGTTTTTATTTTTAAGTTTTCATTTGTTGGAACTTCAAAAATGAATCATTATCATGTCTTCGCAGATTATCAAGGTGTATCTAAGATTTCTGGAAAAATGTAGATTACCTGTCCATGAAACAGCATTTGGCAAATAAGAGATCAGTAAAGTCATTTGTATCATCAACTCATGTTTATGACTTTTCTGTACATCACACTTGACAAAAATTTCGTATTTACGATAAAAATCACGATGAAAATAAGGTTTTTAATACCAAACAATATATAGATTAATTGTTATTAGTTATTAGATAAATATATTTAGATAAATCTTGAAAAACTTATAATAAAACCATTATAATTTGTCAAAAACTAAACTAGAATGAAATTTAAAAAGATACTTAATTGTCCTTTTTTATCAAGGGGTTCTCAATTTGACCTTTCCTCCACCGTGTTAGTTTTAAGTGAAAAAATCTTCAAATTGAAGTAGAAATTTCATTCACAATTTGCTTTTGATCTCTATTTTTAAATGAGATTAAACGATAGTTATGACTTTTTTAATACTGTTTTTAATCAAAGGAGTGGTATTTTCAAAACCTTTCTTCTTTCCTCACACTCTTCTTCTTCAGGAATAAGTATCTATCTATATTAAAAGAAAGGATATCTAGTTGATCCAAATTAAAAATTGCAGCCGCTAAATTAGCCGTTATTAGTCATAAATTTAATAAAGCGATTTAAAAATCTTTCTATTCAATACGGATCGAATTCAAGAAAAAAATTTTTGAATCAAAAAGTGCTGATAATCAATCTAAACTACGTGAAAGTTTTTTCAGAATATTTTGAGGAATGATAAGAATTTTCAGAAAATTGATTCAGTTTAAGTAATAAGTAACAATGTGTTTTTCGCGAATTTCTTTAAACATTTTAAAATAATTATTATAAAATAAAAAAAAATCATTGCAAAGTATAATTAAAATTGAATAAAAACCTAGTCTTGGTACCCCATTGCCCCTGTTACTTCGTTTATATAACATAATATGACCTAAAATTAACATGTATACCATAACTTCTAATTGAAAATAAGCTATTTTACGTCGCTTTTATGACAAACATATTATAACTGTTTAGTTTCGACAATGCTCACAATGAAGAATTAAATTAAGAAATGAAAGGGACTCTCTTACTATCTCTGATTTACAACTAATGGTAATCATATATAAATTTATATTGTTAAACTTGTGAGTTTTTTAAACTATTTTGATTTAAGTTATTAAGTACATTAACTATCAGCTTTATTGTACTTTCCTGAATAATCATAATTGAATTAAAACCAAGTAAAATTTAATATTATTTATTCCATTTTTTGTTGACTCCTAGTTAGTCAAATATAGGCAATAACTTGCCAGGAACAAAATTATGTAATGAGAGTTATTTTACCCATTTTTTTAAGCAAAAAGCTGTGCGAATACTTATAATTGAAAAGTTGAATTGAACTTACAAAAATATTTTCTATTAAGTTTCTATTCACTAAAAATATGAATGTTTAGTGTTTTACGTAGAATAACAGATATTCTGATAATCGGAAAAATATTAATTTTTGAAGAAAAGCTGGTTAAAATGTTGTTCTTCAACAAAAACATAAAAAGGTTGAGAATTATAAATAGTAAACAATCGAATTTCATGAACCACACACATTAATAATACAAATGAGGTGTTTTTATTTATTTTTTCCAGTATTAATTTACAAATAACTATTTATAATAAGCCTTAATTTTTAACAATATCAGTAAAAAATGATAATATTTCGGGACAAGATAATGTAAATTCGAAGAAAAAATATTTCAAGGACATACAATCAAGCAACGACTACAGAAATTTATTTAATTTTTTCATTATAAATAATGAAGTTGGTATTTACACTCAAATTAAATACCTTGTAAAAAAATCTCAAGGTACAAATAACTTTGAATGGGAATTATACTAATATAAATATTGCTTTATATACGCAAACTACTTAAATGTTTAAAATACAATAACTAAACATAATATTTTAGTACTGTATCAAGTAAAAAAATGTATACATAAAATCAAACTTGTATCTTAGTCAGAAGATGCACCCAGTATAGTACAAACAAAAATGGTTTTAAAGAAACCATTAGTGTCTTAAAAATGTACACTACCCTCATTATTTCATTATTAAGGGTATCTTTTTTGTAAAAAATTCCTTTGTTTTATCATAGGATCTTTAGTACATATTTTTCAAATTACAAAGTGGGAGAATCAATATGGCAACAACACACTCTTCTCACTTGTTGTAAAAAGCTTAATTAAGTTTTCGTTATATCTTAATTAATATATAATTTATAAATCACTTGATAAAATTTTAATTTAACCTGGATCATATGTACTTCGTTTGTGTTAATGCGCTGCTACCGCCAGTAGGGTCCATCATACGATCCCAATTAGTTTGGCCAATAACGAAACCAACGGCTCGCATTTTGTCTTGCTGCTTTCGTTCTTCAAGATCCGCCCATTTTACCTGCAGAATTAAAGCGTAAAGGTTAAGTTTGCAATGATTTAAAATATGATATGTATTTAGACAGTATCAAGACTGAAAATTTACTCAATTAAATATACTTACGCGCTTTTTACCTGAGGTATCTTCTGTATCATAATAATCAGGAACTTGTAAAAATTCTTCCATTGTAGGTTTGGCATCATGTTTTTTAGTCAAACCATCTAATCTGTCAAGTTTATCTTCAGTTTCCATTTTCTCCCATTTGCTGACTCCCTAAAGTATGAAGAATGCAATTTTTTCATTGTGAAGAATAACATTTTTCAATAACATTTTAAGTGTAAAATAAAAATGAAAATTGTACCTCTTCCTCCGTGGCATCGTCCTCTTTCTCATCATCCTTAGAAGACGAAGGCTCTTGGTCCTGATCGTTATCTCCTTTAGGTGAATTTTCTTGAACATCCTCCATTTCAACCTGCAAATAAGATTAAATAAAATGATATTTTTTTATCGAGAATCATTCTTTCGATTTTAAAGTAAATACTATACTACATACGTCTTCAATAGTATGTTCTTGTAGTAACGAAGTAATGTCTAATTTGTGATGATGACTAGGCGTTGGTTCAAAGTAATCAACAATTCTATTGACTTCATCTTCTGATCGATTGTGAATATTTCGTTTCAGGCAAATTTGTATATCCATTTCCATTTCGCAAACGTAAACTTTGAATCCTTTTGTTTTAGCGAAACTCCACAATTCTTCATAATCAGATATTTTTTCATTGATACTATCCAAGATAATAAAATTGAAATAGCCATCTGTGACATTTTTTTTAAATGCTTTGTTAAGATGATTCACATATTCTGGTTCCATAGCTTCTTCATACTTATATTCCATTTCCTAAAATAACATTACATTATTTATCAATATAATTATTATTCATAATAACTCTAAATTAATTTACTTACATCAATGCCATCTTTCTTTTCATCACCAGATGAATCATCTTTTTCAACAAGGAAATAGTCGTCAATACTCAGTATTCTTGGAGCAGAGCCTCCTTCGGCAACTTCTTTATCCTACAAAAACAATTTTTATGATGAATTTTATATAAGATTAGTAAAATTATTTTTACGCTAATTATTTTTTTACGGTACCTTAATTAATTTAGCCACGTAAGATTTACCACTACCCGGTGGGCCTCTGAGAATTATGGCTATTTTTGGAGGTCTGGTCATCCTACTTGGAGGTGCCAGAATATCATTAACCATTGTAATATTTGTTTTTGGTAATTCCATGATTTTTGGTGACACATCTTGATCGTTTTCCTTTTCTTTAATCTCTGCAAGACTAGAATTAAAAAGTTTTATGAAAATTCTAAATTCATAATTTAGATTATAATAGAATTTTTTTTAAATAAGGCGAGTAAATATTCAAAAAATTAGTTATAATATAATAAAAGCTATGGATGCTGTTTTTCAGTACAATAATATTTTTTGAAAACATAGAAATGCTAAGAAAGACGATTAAACATACTGTTGGATTTGTTCGAAGCTGGCAGGGGTCGATTATAACCATTGATGTTATCAAGGTGGGAAGTTTGTTTACTAAATACCGATGGCAACTTTTTTCTATTATACTTCATTAATAAAATGAGGTTTTACGCACAATATACATTCCTATCATAAAATTAGGTCTGTACCCAATACACGATATTGAGATAGACCCAACATTTTCAAATGAAATTTTAAAATAGTTAGCCCTACACAAATACCAAAATGAAAGTTTTCAAGAAGTTAAGCTAAAATGTATATTTCTAACACATATTATGAGATATTTACTCAATATTTTTCTTAAAAACTACATGAATGTTCATTTGTCTTAATTTTGTGGTTTTCTCTACATTAGCATAGTTTTTCATAAAAATATTAAGTTTAAATATTAGAAAAATGTGTTCCAAAATTTTCATGTTTACTTAGCCCATTAACGACCAAAATGCTCGATTTTTTTGTTGGTTTTCGCAGCGATTTTTTTTGTAGTTTGAGGCCTCCAAAAAGATTCGTATGGACCTATTTCGATGTAAAATTTAATGTCCTTTCAGAAACTGAGCTCAAAATTTCGATTCTTTGCGTAATAAAAAAGTTATGACTACTTATACGAAAAAAAACGTCAAATTTTTTGCAAAAAATCAAGTTTTTGATTTTTTTTTCACCATGTTACCGTTAGGGAATCACGATATCTATATATTACGCGTTGAATGAGTCTCGCGCTAAAAGTTCTGGCCTCCCCGAAAAATCTGGAAAAACGATGACTAAAAAAAAAAAATTTATTATATATTTACAAGGTATATATATAATAAATATACCTATTATATATATATATATATATCTGGTACATGTCTTGTAAATACAAGGTATATACAATGTATATTATACATTCTATATTAGGGTGGTCCTTATTTCCCAATGTGCTCCGATCCTCGCTCCTACCCCTCAAAAAGTTAGTTTAGGACCACAAATGAAGAAACCCGTCGTCATAACTCCCAATAGTAGTCGCTAAACCCTCCCCGTTTTCACAAAACCGTTTTTTTCCCATATAACCATTTTATGCTCAATATTGTACTATTAAAACGTAATACAACTATTCTCAATTTTGTAGGATAGTTTTATGCGTTTTATATTGAAGAAACTTTACCCTTTTACCGTTTAAGATTCTAAAAAAAAATTCGTTTACACGAATATAACGTTCGAATTTAGGAAAAAAGACGAAAAATGAGCATTTTCTTGAGTTTTTCGATTTCATGAGCAAATATCGAATTTTGTTGCTTAACCAAACTACATTCATCACATTAAACTTTACGACTTTTATTTGTTTTCCTAATGATGACTGAGAGTTTTCGAGACCTGAGATTTAACGTTTTGAATGAAAAAAAAAACAAAAAAACCTAGTCCGCTAACAACGAGACTATATAATTTTATTTTAAAGTCAAAATGAACCTCTATCGTATGTTCTGTGAAACAGGACCCCTTTTTCAAGTTTTTTAATAATTGTTTAAGTTCATTAAGTCCCAAGGGACCGTTTTTCAACACTTTACTAGGTCACTGTATTTTTCGTGAAAATGGGGTCATAAAAACATGCGAGTAACTAATTGTATTGTAAAATTGATACCCTTTTAGAATCTGATCTCAGATTTTCGAAAAAACGATCATATCAAAAGTTAAACTTGATTTTAAAGTATAATTTAAAAAAAAATTTCATTTTTGAATTTTCAAATGAAACCATTTGAAATTTAAGAGGTTTCGTGCAAATATCGCGTCCTCTATACCTAAACTAAAAGTTTGCGGGGTTTAGATTGAAGTCAATAAAGTTGGAAAATACTCTTTTCTCTCAAATCCTTTGTTTTTGAGAAAAATTCTAGAAGTTTTCGTTTATTTTTTCGTGTTCGACCACCATTTATTGTGTTTAAACATTAATTTTTTTAATCGGAACCCTTCTAACTTTTAGTTTAGATATCAAGGACGCGATATGTGTACAAAACCCCTGAGATTTGAAGTGGTTTTCATTTGGAAACTCGAAAAATGAAAAAAAAATTTTTCCACACTCTAACCTAAAATACGCAACTTTGCCGCTAATTTTAGGCTCTCGTAGGAAAAAATAGTATCTCAAACTGGTGCAGATATGGTTTTTTAACAAAACTCGTTACAGCACTCGCCTTCGGCTCGTGCTATAATCCCTCGTTTTGCTAAAAAACCAAATGTGCACCCGTTGAGAAATATACTATTCTTGAAATCACGTTTTTTTGGATAAAATCAAGTTTAACTTAGACATGATCATTTCTTCGAAAATCTGATCAGATTTTGAAAAGGTATTAAATTTTATATTACAATTAGTTACTCACATATTTTTTTGACCCCATTTTCACGAAAAATACACTGACCTAATAAAGTGTTGAAAAAACTTCGTCTTAGGACTTAATGGGTTTAAAAATAACTTTATTTTTCTGACTTTTCAAGCGTTTGTATTAATTTTTAAAGTCTCTAACGAAACATCAAATATTTAATAAGAAATGTTTTGTAAAAAAATAGAAATCTCATTTAAATGACTAATAAATTTGAAATAAAAAACGTTCAAATTGAACGATATTGTTTTTTTTTCATTCAAAACGTTAAATCTTAGGTCTCGAAAACTCTCAGTCATCATTAGGAAAACAAATAAAAGTCTTAAAGTTTAATGTGATGAATGTAGTTTGGTTAAGCAACAAAATTCGATATTTGCTCATGAAACCGAAAAACTCAAGAAATAGTAATTTTCGATACAAGTGCCATAAGTAACACTTTTTGGCACGGCGTAGTTTAGGGCCCGAGCGCAGCGAGGGTCCTAATAGCTGGGCCGAAAAGTGTCCCCTATGGCCCGAGTATCGAACAACGTTTTATAGTACTGTGCAAAGTTCACATTTATGCCCCCTTTTCCGATGCATAAGTCGCACTTTCTGGTAGCGCGAAGTGAGGTTAGCGCACGAGCGTATGCGAGTGTGATGCGAACGCAGCGGTGCCAGAATGTGCGACTTATGCCACCGAAAAGCGTGCCATAGATGTGAACTTATGCCACGCAGTGCTATAAATGCTCATTTTTCGCCTTTTTTCCTAAATTCGAACGTTATATTCGTGTAAACGAATTTTTTTTAGAATCTTAAACGGTAAAAGGGTAAAGTTTCTTCAATATAAAACGCATAAAACTATCCTACAAAATTGAGAATAGTTGTATTACGTTTTAATAGTACAATATTGAGCATAAAATGGTTATATGGGGAAAAAACGGTTTTGTGAAAACGGGGAGGGTTTAGCGACTACTATTGGGAGTTATGACGACGGGTTTCTTCATTTGTGGTCCTAAACTAACTTTTTGAGGGGTAGGAGCGAGGATCGGAGCACTTTGGGAAATAAGGACCACCCTATTCTATATACGTGGTATATACCTTGTGGAAACCTATTTTATGTTTCTTGCTTTCTCAAAAATGCTTACAAAACCCTGACTATACCGAGCGAGCGTGAGCGAGCGAGGTAATTCGCTAGTAAATATCATCAGGGGTGATCACGACTATCAAAGTATCTCAGGGAATTTTTGAACTCCTTTTCAAACTTTGGTTTTTTGCACTTTTTCTCTAAATTCAGTAGTTTTCGAGTAAAAATGAGTTATGTTTTATATGAATATAAGTTATTTTTTGTTAAAAGTAGTGGTTCGAAAATTTCATAAAAATCTTTGATTTTTTAAAAAACATTTAAATTAAATATGAAAAGATTAACTATTGTAAAGTGACAATTAAAAATGATCGTACGATATGCTTAAATGACACCATCTGTGTGAAGAGCCCTTTTAATAAAATTTATTCAATTATTTAATGATTCCCTACATCGAAAACTGATTTTAACCAATCAGAGTAACATGATTAATCGAAAGCATTTTTGGTCATTTGAATTCGCTCGGATTGAAATATTTTAAATTTTTATTAATGCATGTATTTAAAGGGGATTTAATACCACGATAAATAAATACCAACATTTCGAAACACATTATCTGCACACCATATATGCGTAACACATTAGCTACACACAATATACGCGTAAAAAGCTATCTGTCACTTAAAGGGCGACAATAACTTTCAAGAATATTAATAAAAAAAAAATGATAAAAATATCAGAAAGTGTATTCAAAATTGCTTATTTATACCCTGATTTTGTTGAACTCTCCCCATGCATTTCTTCTATCCGATAAAACAGAGTGATGGAAAAAGTATAAGCTTAGAAAATTCCAGCCCTCCACAGGACAGAATCAAGGCATAAGTAGTGTACCTTTAATGAAATTGTAAGTGTTTCCCCCCGCAAAATGTTCATTCAAATATAATAAAACATAAAAATTTGAAATAATATGTACACATATAAAAAAGTCTATGAGTTGTACTAACTTCTAGTCCTGATCACGGATCCAGATATCATTTTTTGGGCAAAATATATTACTCCTAACAAACACTTAATTTATTTGTCATAATGTTCATATGTATTTTTAGGAGGTCAAGAAAATTCATCTTTTGACAAACACTTATGTCCTACACAGGTTCCTTCGATGGCGAAATAAGCATTTTTTTAAGTAAACGGGAAATTTCAATAAGTTTTTTTTGTACCACAAAAATTTTAATTTTTCATAAACTTTTCAACTGGTCAAGTTCGATTGATAAATAATTTAAATGTAGTAGGGAGTTTTAGATACCACATGTTGGATATTCCATGCTTTCTAAATAAAAGGTTATTACCATCGCACTTAGACAATAACTGTCCACTTTCAATTGATCTTGTAATTATTAATTTAACAAATCTTAGTATTGAATACGCATTTTCACTTTCAAGAAAATTTGGAAGGTTATTCAGATAAATTTAATAATCTGAAAAACTTCAGATAATTTTCATCTAATTTTTTAGCAAATAAAGTTCCATTGACCAAAAATTTATGCAAGGTAAATATTACTCCATATTTTGCTAAAAATTTAGTGATAAATTATTGAATGCACTATTAAATTTTTCTTAATAGCCTTTACGGCGATTTATGGGATGGTCAAAATAGATAAAGCAAATAAAAAATATAAGATTTGTTCGTGCTTTTGCGGGTAAAAAGTAATGCGAAACATCTTAATAAAATGGAAATAAAACATATGAAGTGCACAATCATATTTCGCAGCTGAACACTCAAATTTTAAAAGGTTCGGTGTAATTTATATACTTTTAAAAGTAACTTATTAAGAGGGTAACTAAATTTTGTCGATGGGTCACAAGTCAATCAAGTTAGCGAACATCCAAAAACTGAATACAAAAATTGAAAGATAGTAAAAATCAATTATTGGTGGATAGATCTATTAAAAACTATGAATAGATCAACTCTTCATTGTCTGCTTTGAGTCATTGCTCACAGTATAATGAATAGTCAAACTTTTTTAAAAAACTCGCATCTGTAAAATATAATAACGGGAGATCAGGCTTCTTATATAGATTTTTCATTCATTCATAAATGAGATAAAATAATTTGAAAAATAGGGCCCAGGTGTTTCCTATTTTTTCTTTTTATAAGACACATTCAAGGGAATAAGTGTATAGAGTAGAAAGTGTGTATCAGAGTAATAATGGTATAACATCCTGCCAGCTCGTTCTTCCATAACATTTCTTTGGGTCAATTTTTTAAGGTGAAAAAGTATCGGGGAAAAATTGTTCTTTCATTTTGTCCTACATGGATAATTTATAATTGTAAGTTAATAAAAACTTTTTATTTTTGGGATTTTTTGTAGTTGAATTTAAAGTTGGGAAACAGGTTCATTCGTAAACTGAACCTTAATTTCTTATCCGAGGTGAAAATTTTGCAAAACGCGATAGTTACAGTGTTATTTTTATGTTACCTGTCGTCACCCTTTTCATGATCATTGATTTTAGTGCCACTGTCTTCTTGTTCTGTAATTATCTCTGTTGAAAAAAAATGATAAAGTTTACTTAATTTAAATTTCTTATTGTGAAAGCTACATATCTCTGCAACATATTTGAAAATGCATTTTAACATTGTAAATTCATGAAAGTGGATAAAAAGTACACACTCAATTATAACGTGTGTCTTGTGCACACGTAGTAAACCAGTGATAAAATAATATAATTTTTTCACACAACTACTCTTTCAGCCACTAATTAAATTATTTAATTACAATCAAAAATTTTAATAATGTTCCTGCAAAGTTCCCGAGAACACATGAAAAAATATTCAAGTTACGACACAAAAAGAGCAATAACATGAACATTTATTCAATTTCATCGACAACTTCGAGGTTTTTAGCATAAAATTTCGATTTCCTTACAAAACAATTGGTGAATTTACCTGGACTATTTATATTTTCTATCATTACTTCTTCTCCTTCTTTGTTTTCTTTGCTTTCTTTACTTTCACTCTTATCAAGCTTATTTCGGAGATCTTTATCAGAACTCTTGTCGCGGGAGCTGCGATCTTTATCTGATTTTTCTTTGGTTCGATCATCTCGATCTTTTTCATGTCTATCTTTGTGTCTATCGTCTCGGTCTTTATCATGACTTCGATCTTTGTGACGATGATCATCCCTGCTGAAGCGTTCATCTCGATCCTTGAATCTGTCATCACGGTCCTTGTGTCGCTCACCTTCGCGACTTTTGTCTTTATCCCGTTCAGAATTTCTGTAACGATCCTCGCGATCCCTGTCTCTGCCCCGTTCATAGCGATCATTGTCTCGATATCTATCTTTTTCACGATTTCGATCTTTCTCGCGTTCCCGGAGTCGATCATTTGGACGTTCATCTCTATCCCTATCACGACGATCTTCCCTATCTCTTCGGCGATCATCGCGGTCTCTTTCACGTTTTTCCTTAGCTGCATATTTTCTTGGGCCAGGTAAACAAGCCATCCAAGTTTTTCCTAATTTTTGTGTTCTCTCAACCATTTGGTCATTAAATATTCTCAAATTGTGGTCATTTTCTTCCCAATTTTTAAAATCTTGAATAGGATGGTGAATGAAAGGTTTGGTCTTTCCATGACAATAGTCATAAACATGAACAGGTTCTTTAAATTCATAAACTTCAGAATGCCTTTTCTTATGTGCATAATTGATAACTTTTGCAGGGCCTGAAAATTCTTTTGGCGTATCTTGAGCTATACCCCCATGGTTATAATTAAATTGTTTACCAACACAGAAACCATCATCTATGAGTGGTAGAGGTTGTGATCTTTCAGAAGAGCCTATGGTTTTGTCAAAAGTATCTCCTGATTTATCGAAAAGTCCATGTGGTCTGTCAAACAGGCCTACTGGCCTATTTTGGAATCTTTCAGGTTGATTTATCGGTCGATCGAAAAGACATGGAGAATTTAAACTAGCTGGTTTGTCAAATAAGTCTATTGTTCTTTCATGAGGACCAAGTGGTTTATCTACAAAAGGTTTATCCATTAAATTCATTGGTTTTTCAAATGGCTTATCCATCAAACCAATTGGTTTTTCAAATGGTTTGTCCATTAAGCCAATAGGCTTATCAAATGGTTTATCCATCAAGTTTATTGGAGGAGCTCCCAATAAACTCATTGGTTTATCAAATGGTCTTTGATCAAATGGATCACTTGGCTTGTCGAATAATCCAAAAGGACCTCCAGGTCTATCAAAAGCATCATCTGGTCTATTGAATGGACTTCCTTGTTGATTAAAAGAATCACCAAAGTTCTCAAAAGGAGTCTTGCGAATATTAAATGGTTCAAATGCAGGCTTGTTCACATCACATTCACCTTCTTTACGATTTTTCTTATCTTGTTGACTGAGGCCAATATCCATTGCATTACTAGACATTGAATCGAATGATCGGAATGAATCAAATGGCTGTTTAGGAAAACCAAAATTTTCCTGGTTTTTGAAATTATTATCTTCGCCAAAACGAACATTGTCAGGCATACTGGCGTCTGGTTTTTTGATCAATGGTGGAGGTGTAATTTTTAAACTCAGAAGTGAAGGTATGTTCTTTGATGGACCAGGCTGCGTTTGATGGGATCTGCCTTGATATTGATTGAAACTTCCTTGCTGATTCAAAGATGTATTATCACAAAACACATCATTAGTAAAATTATCCTCTTTTGGATCCACAGGTAATCCTGCTTGATTAATTGTTTCATTTTTATTAGTTACTTCGGTTGATTCAAAAGTTTCACCAACTTTTTGTTGACTATCTTTTTTATTTTTTGTTTCTTCTTCGTTTTTACTTTCTTGAGCAGACAACTTTTCTGATTGATTATTTTTAGAATCAATCCAATCAGAAAACTGATCATGCCCAGGTAATTTAAAGTTTCCAAGACTGCTAGCACTGGTACCTTCTTTCATTGACTGATTTTCTAAGGCGCTATCTTTCTTTTCAACTTGTTCTTTTTCATCTTCCTGTGATTTTTCATCTGCCAAGTTTTTATTTTCAGAAAAATTTTCTTGTTCATAATTTCTTTCCCCATCAAACTGGTTCGACTCTTGATTTTCAAATTCATTAAAACCTCTGACAGCATCGTCAAATCCACGATTAGTATTAGATCCTCTATTGCCAAAATTATCTGATCCTCTGTTGCCAAAGTTTCCGGGACCTCTGCTTCCAAAATCATTTGGTCCGCGGTTTCCAAAGTTGTTGCCAAAATTGTTTGGACCTTGATTATTAAAGTTGTCCCCTCCTTGGTTGTTAAAATTATTCAGCCCTTGATTATTGAAACCCCCTTGACGCCTATTACCAAAGTTATCGGAACCTCTGTTGCCGAAATTATCGGATCCCCTATTTCCAAAATTACCTGAACCTTGATTACCAAAATTGTTAGGGCCACGGTTACCGAAATTATTGGGTCCATTATTTCCAAAGTTATTCGGACCTTGATTGCGGAAGTTGTTTGGACCTTGACAATCAAAATTTCCTTGACCTTGATTTGAAAAGTTATCAGAATTTCTATTGCCAAAGTTATTTTGACCACGGTTACCGAAATTATTTGGACCTTGATTATTAAAATTATCTGAACCTCTGTTTCCTAAGTTACTCGGACCACGATTGCCAAAATTATTCGGGCCTTGATTATTAAAATTGTCAGATCCTCGATTTCCAAAATTATTTGGACCACGACTACCAAAATTATTAGGACCTTGGTTTCCAAAATTGTTAGGTCCTCTATTATTGAAGTTGTTAGCACCTCGATTACCGAAATTGTTATCAAAGCTTTGTTGATCATTATTGTCATCGAACATATCGTTTTGATCATCATCTTGTGAATTTTGAGAGTTGTTGCTCCCAAATCTATTACTGAAATTGTCATTTTTGGCAAATCTTGAAAAATTATCTCTTAATGAACCGACATTTGGTTCACTAAAATTGGTGCTGCTAGGTTTGAAAACATCACCTGCCGCTTTTCTTCTTTCCATAAGACTTCTGACTTCCGGTGGAATATTACGATTATCATTAAAATTGTTATTACTGTTATCACTGTTGCTATTGTAGTTTTGATTATTTCGAGCAGTGTTGAAATTATCTTGTTTATTAAAATTTGTATTTTCATCTGTTCCGTCGGATCTATTATTTTGTTGATTCAAATTTCTCATATTTCTATTTCCTGGCAAATTATCATTTTTATTAGACGGAGGAGGTCTTTGAAACTGATTATTCTGATTTAAATTCTTCTGGTCTTTGCTACTAGATCCAGAATCATTCGTTTGTAAATTAGGTGGAGGTACATTTGTGTTGACAATTGGTGGTGGTTGTGTAAATACAGGAGGGGGTTGAGAAAAATTGGGAGTTTGAAATCCTGGAGGCGGTTGAGAAAAGTTGGGTGCTGCTGTTGGAGGAGGAATTGCCGTAGTTGGCATTTGCATTGGAGTTGGTGTCATCGTGTATGGAGTCATGGGCATACCAGTACTCATAACTGGATTATACTGATTCCATTGTGCCCAAGCTTGAGACATATCTGGTTGCATCATAGGTGTCATTGAAACAGATTGTTGAGCCATAGTTGGTGTTTGTACTGGCATTGATGAAGCAATCCCAGTCATTGATGTTACAGATGAACCTGATGTTTCAGCTTTTGAAGTGAGTCCTAAAGTTTTGCCTATTCCTAAGAGATTATTAATCAATCCTTGATTTTCTGTATTAGAAAGAAGATTCATTATCTTATCACCACCAGTGATATCTTTTTTTTCAGCTTCTGCTTTTGCAGCTGCAGCAATTCTTTCACGTTTACGACGCATTTGTTCACGACGTTCAATCAATTTTTCTCGCCATGATGTCCATTTGGCTTCATATTGCTTGTATTGAGTCTATAAAAATAATAATTTTGAGGTAATAAAATTCCTTTACATACAAAGATCAAATGTAATTACAATACTGTTTATTAAAAGCTATAAAAATATAATTTACCTTATCTGGGTGATTAGCATTTTGAAGCTTCCAAGTATTGAACTTTTCTTCCCATTGCTTAAACTGAGCATCAAATGTTTTTTCTGCTTCGCTAAGTTCTTGGTCAGTCTCTTTTAATTTTTTGGCAGCTTCACTTTCTACTTCTGAGCTTGCTGATCTTTTTGAACCAGTAGGTGGAGGCTAAAATTTCAACAAACGAATGTCAATAGAGCCAATTAATAATTATTGAAGGTAATAAACATTTTTGTTTTATTTTCAAATAATCAATAGTACTATAATTGAAGGACCAAATTTTACTCACTGGGGGAACACTTGTATTGTATCCATATGATGAAGTTGGTGGCAGTGGAGGTTTTTCTTCTTTGGGAGGAGGAGGAGGAGGTTGAGAAGTACTCGCAGGTAGAGGTGGCGGTTGTTGCCCATATTGTTTCATTGTTTCTTGGTACTAAAAAAAAAAAATTGTCCAGTAATTAAGTACAGTTTTTAAAAGTAACACTTGTTAATAAGAGTGAGTCTTACTTTTTCTCCATACTGTGCTTGCCATTGCTGATACTGTTGTTGCCACTGCTGCCATTGAGCCCAATTTTGCTGTTGAGCTGCAGCCCATTGTTCTGGTGTATAACCACTTGGTGCCTGTTGATAATAGTAATGATACAATTTTGAAGACTATAAATCAAAATTTGATAAAACCAAATTTCAACACCTTTGAATGATTTCCAACTAGTAATTTTATGAAGTAATTTTTATTACATAAGTCTAAAAAGACTATTTTCTGTAATGTATTTACAAAAACATGGTAATTTAATATTCATAAAAAACTCTGATTTAATAATTAAAATTCATGCACTTGTTTTCAGAGATTTCTATTGAATTTTTAGTAAAAAAAATGCTTAGCATGATCTTTTCAAATTTCATAATGAATCGCTCGACATAAGTTAAATTAATAAGTTCTTTTGAAAAAAAGAATGACAGGATTAAAATTAGAATTTCCAAAAATATTTTTTGGGATTTCTTCTTCATATTCAGTAGAAAACTTGGAAAATATGTCAGAAAACTGCTTATTACTGCTTTGATATCTCCTCAACTTTAATGTCTTCATTTTTGTATTCATTTCAAAAACAATACTTTCATGATATCATTTTTAGTAGTGCAAATGGGCTTATATAAATGATCTAAGTAATGCTTCAATATAATTGACAATTTATACTTACTGGTTGGTTGTAATATTGCATGTAAGCTTGCATAGTTGCCATAGGATCAGTACCGGGTGCGGTATATCCTGTAGGTGGAGGGGGCATAGATGTAGAAACTGTACCAGACGGTACAGACCATTGATTCCAACTTTGCATTTTAATTTTGCCAAATTATTGTAGCTACCAATTTGGTAGTCTACAGCATTTCCTTGGGTATTAAAAGATGCTCCTTCGATTATAGGCTAAATATCATATAGAGGAGAAAATGTTTTTGTTATAGATTATTTTAAAAGAAAATTTGTGGCATCTGATCTCTAAGTTGTTATTCAGAGATCATAAATCAATAAAATAAAATCTCATAATTATGCTAATCTAATAGTAAATATCTTAAACAATAGTAATTGCAATAATAGTAGCATTAGAGTTAATATGAAAATTTGTTTGAAATAGTATATTCATATAAATAAAAACATTATTTTAAATTTTCTCGTAACTTAATAGTATCGTAAGTCCAGAAATATATAATTGATAGGGTTCATTCTTAAGGCTACTAAAAACTTTATATTGCAGTCTTGGGAGATATTTTCATTTGAATAAAAACTTAGAAAGATTTTCTTTCAGTTTTCAGGTAAATCATAATAAAACATATATAAATAAAGTAAAGAAAACATAATATAAAATTGTAGTAAATTTATCATAATAGGTATCAATTTGAAGAGGATTTATGAAAAAGATTTATTGATAAAATCAAGATTGCGTTACTTGGTTACTTTCTTCCTAGAAATTGAGCATTTTTCCTATAACATTATTGTTATTGTATGAACACTTCGAAGAAAAGTTGTAAGGGGTTTAATGTTAAAAGTAAATCGGTTTAACTATAATTCTGAAATGTCAAAAAAATGTAAACACAGCAAAATAGAGGATTTGCCTGTGCTAGCCTGATATTATTATGCATATGAGTGAACCCTATTTCGTTGTACTTATATTTTCTCCTCATTTAAGAATTAGAGTCGAACCATTTTGAATAAAATAATTTTGCTTCCAAAACAGATTTAAAAATTAGCTTGAATTTTCAATCTTTATTTAAACAAAATTATAAATAAGAATACCATTATTAGAAACAGAATTTTAATCAAACTAGGTGGCGGGTACTATTGAATTGTTTGTGTGTAGATTTATTGAATAAGACATTGAAATTATTATCTCAGTAAGTATAAATTATTCAGATTTGAAAATGAAGTTTGATATAATAATATATTTTAATTTGAGTCTTCCAATTATGGGTGGATAAATGTACGCAGATTTCTAATTCAAATTGAAGATATCTATGCAGATGAAACTTTGAATTATTATAAAAAACATTAACATATAGAATGTTATCAAAAAGTTGAAAATAAGCCCAAGTTACTATTAGACATCATTGCTGACAGAAGAATTAATATAAAAAAAAACGGAAATTTATATTGGATTTCCTTGAGAATATGGACCCTAGTGATGGTCTTGTGTGATGTCACTTTCATAGATTGAACGATTGTAACCTCAACATAAGCATAAGAAAAATTTATGCTACTTTTATATATGCTCAAGTGAACAGTTTTATTCTAATTTGTTTGAAGTTAATAATGACACCCAATCGAGTATACTTAGAAGCAGCAAAAATGTATCTTATGCTTAGACTGAGTTTCTATCTGTGGTCAATGTTATACTAATAAAAATAAGATATCATGAAATTCAATCGATTCATTATTACAAATTTTATCTTACAACTAAGACTTCAATTACAAAATCAATTATGCCCAATGTGCTGAGGGTCTGTGATAAATCTAACATTCGCATACATTATTTTTCATATCAAAGAGCAATAAAGGCTTCTAAATGTAGTTTCAGAAAAGGTAAATATAGCTGTTGGGAAAATTTGTTTGCTTACTTATTGCAGTTAATTGTCTTGATCAGGTAATTAAGGCACCTTTGTAACCTTGAGCGCAATCAATGCTTCTTTTTTATACAGTTCTGCAATGGTTGCAAAACAATGATAATCAATGAGGCTGAACTTAAATTTGAACAAGCATAGAAGAAAAGTGACTAACATTACTAACTAAATATTTAGTAATATTATGATTACATTTCACGTACATAGAAGTTGTAAAACATTCAATTCCATAAGAATGAACAATAGTATTGATTGAAATGCATAATTAATGATTTTACCCTACAAACCTAAATTTTAAAGGACAAAAATTTTCATAACAGTTGAAAATGGCTGCATACACCAAGTATATGCAAGTTCTATTTATGACAAATAAGTATGTAGGAATAAACACATTTGTTTAAAAATGCTCCTTATTGATCAAGTTCATAATTAGATGGGTTCTATTTACTAGAGAAATGTTGACAATACTATAAAATGATAAAATCATGTTCATACGTGCGTTATTCCGCTCGAAATTTTTGCTGTTTATAAGAGAAAGTAAAAGAATTTACAAATTTCGTGCAAAGTGCACTGACACCAAAATCTTGTCTGAGCAAAATGGGTTCATTTTAACATAATAATAAAAACAAAAAAAAGTCACTGATAATCATAACAATAACAGGACACGGCTTTGCATTGCAGCGCAAGCCTTTGTGACTTAATTGTGCATTTAAGGGAACTAATATTGTCGAAAGCATAATTTCTAAATATTCATAATCATATATAATACATAAATATCAATAGGCATATATAGCTTGAATATTTCGTTGAGGGCAAATAGTGTACAAAAAATTTGCAGTGTTATGAGTAGATAAGTTTGCACTAGGTACTCACACATGAAATGAAGCTCGGCAAAATCAATGGAGAGACGGGATAGTCCCCAATATAAACTGGTGTGCGCGTGCTTGTAATGTATATATATATCAACGGTGCGTGCGGAATTCTTTCTTCAGATGAAGCCTCGACGTTTGCAGCACGACAGCGACGATAGGAAAAAAAAACAACAGATTTCACTCAGTGCACTTATTACAGCGTAGACGGCTCAGCCATCCCTCGCGGGACTGTTTAACGAGAGCAATGCTATTTGTAATTCAATACAAAAACGCGACAACACGAAGCGAGCTAGTGATAGTCGTTGTGTAGCAGCAGCAGGGCTGGCTCGGCTGGGGCTGGCTGTGTGTACGCGAAAAGCGATTGTATTGGACACGCACACAGAGTGCGCACTGCGCAAGCCAAAAATCCGCACATTAAAGTTGCATTTCGTAATGCTTCTGACCTAGCTGCGTCAAAGCGCCTCTACCAGCTATTCGTGACGATCATCACAACGCAGTATGTAACATCATGGCGCGTAAATCAAACCCTCGAGCAAAAAGCACAGCGCCAAGTAAAACAGTTCTCGTTCTTACGTACTCCCAGCTTCTCGGTACTTGAATGGCTGAATATGCATAAACCTTTGTTCTGGCTGATGTCCGTGTTTATATTATAGTAGTCGGTCGTGAATTTTTCAATTTCATTTGAATGAAACCCTAGAACGCGGAAGATTACCGGAACTGATAATTCTTCAAGATATCTCAGCCGAAGAAATATTATTCTCTCTCAAATATATTGCCTACCGTTTTAACAATAATCACATTTTAAATATGAAACTTTACATATTGATTATAATAATTAATGTTTTCTCGTCATTAAGAAACATTGTTTCAAAATTTAATTAAATTTATTTAAGGTAGGATTACTCATTAAATTTGATTGACTGCAAATATCATAAACTCGCATTAAGATTGTCGATCAAATCGAATCAGAAAAAAATTTTAATGGGAAAACAAATTATCATCTTAATCTTCGAGTGAAATAATGTTAAATAATGTTAAATAGGTAATTTGACTTTGTGTAATTACCTTTGTTCCACTTGTATTTCATCGTCTATACCATTGACAGTTATAGAAAAAAATTTTCACAAGAGAATGTGAAAAGATGTAATTCATTTGGAACAGAAAAAAATTAAGAATAAGTTTTTAGTAAAGAATATTTTATACATTCAGTACATAATTTCAAAGCGCTTTTCATATCAACAGTAACATGTTTTCATTGGTACTTATTTAAAAAAAAAAACTATGCACTTCTTTTCAGAATGAAATTTTATCACAACAATATTATTATAAAAAAATCATATAAAAGCTAATACCTTGTCAATTGAATTTATTTGACATGTTGTGGAAAAATTAAAAAATCACAGTTAATTTTTCTTTATCGAAGAATTTATTAGTCCTTAATAATATTACTGTATAATCAACGAATGCTACATAAAAAAAGAATAACTTCAGGATCAAATTGTTAAATGGTATGATGTATTCATGTACAATCACGCTGAGTAATAGAAGTGAATTATATGGTGGGGCCACGATGATAATCCTTCATTTAATATAAATAAAATAAAAGAAAGAGAGACAGCTCCACAAATAAAATGGGATAATATGCAACTGTCGACGTACATTACAATATTCTCTTCTTGTTTAGCCACTTTTTTTTTCCTACACATAAGTTTGACGAATTTATACTACAAATTTTTGTTTTATATTAACAGTTTATTATTTTTTACCTCGCTTTTTGCTCTTTATTATAATCATTATAGTAAAGAACAGTTTATGGACTATCAAAATCAATTCTGTACATTCACACCCTCAGAATTTGTCATCCTTAATAATCGTTACATTATATTTAATTTTCCGCCCTAAAACGCAAATGGCCCTAAATGCATCGGATGGACCATGCTCGTAAGCGCACACTAATTCATCTTACACACAAATAATTGAATTCGCAACAGAGAGATACAGATACAAAAATTTGTCGATTGCCGTGATTAGGTCCTTGCAAGAACTTCGGTTGTTATCGTGGTGAGTCGTGTTTGACTATCCAACTATCGAATCCCATAGCCTGACCTGCTTCTACGACCAGCAGAATTTATTAAAAAATTTGCTTCATTTTTTCAAATAGACTAACAGTTTAACTACCAGATTATCATGGTGACGATGCGTTGTGCTTTTTTGCCTTCCTTTGTCAATTTTTCGCTACCCGGTTGTTCCACGTAATTTTATACATATAATATAGCGTCTGGACATAATCGTTTTAAATATGCAAATATACATGCTGATTTTATTGAGAATTCAATAAGACTTTGATAACAATCTTAAATACACTCCATTCATTAAATTTTTCATACAATTAAAATGATATAATTTCTCAATTAATACTAAATGATACATACAAGTTCTAACGATGCGCGACCTAACACTGAACACGTCTCTCTTTCTATAAAAAATCATGTGTTTATATATAATCATGTTATATACTTTATTTACTTTTAGTCATCCTTTATTTCAGTTTACTCAATGAACTGCAGAAAATCACTTGGCAGAACACACTACAAATGAGACAGTCTGATCGAGTTTTTTTTACTCAGTGTAGGTTTATACGAGTGACAATTACTATAGCATGATGAATGCGTAATACATATCACACCGTCAAATTTTTTTATTCATTTATTATTTTTTTTATTTTTGGCTAACTTTTCGTACTTGTAGGGATTCGTACTTGCATATTCATGTATTAAATAGAACTTAGGTTTATACAAAAATTATATAATTCGTAGTATAATAATAGCAATTATAATGTAATGCGATTACAACGATTGTAATAAAACAATCGACATAACAAAAGATTAAATGAAAGTTAAGCAATTTTTTACACTTGTATTATATTCATTAGATTTAATGTATTATCATTAACGATATTATTTATTTTTTGTTGTATCCTTAGTATTATAGACGCAAATCGGCGTTGGCTGGTAGACCAAAAACTTTGACGCAGTACTAGATACACTTGAATTTTTCTATAACACTTTCGTCTTTTATTTATTTTTTTTTTCGAGTTCGGCATATGTAATTAATAGCAGTAGTAGAAGTAGTACAATGTATTTTTGGACATTTGTTCTTTGAACTCTTCACTCTCAGTTGCAATGCGTTTATTACCTTTCGTCGATCAAGAGCTCAGCGTGCACATCTTCAATTACTTGACTTTTGTTTCTTTTTTAATTTCTTGTTTTTTTTTTTTTTTTTTTATACATACTTACGATACTTAAATAGTGTATTATAGACACGTTCGGCTTAATTTTTCTGTCCCGTGCAACCCTTCATTTTACGTTTTCTCGCAGGCTTGTTGCTGTCACAAAATTGGCGATTTAACATTTGCTTATATTCCGCCTTGCAAGTGCGCCTTTAACGCGTTCCTGCAACACAGCAAAAAAATGGATCGTCATTGAAAATGGATATAAATAAATATGCGCGCGCTGCCTTTGACCACGTTAATAATGTGTTGAAATGTATGGCTAACTGATTAACAAAGATCAGAACTGATGCAAACGTAAGTCAAGAAAAACTAAATATAATTATGAACTTGCTTTGGTATCAACGATAAGATTTTGTCGATAAGTGTTGCCACATTTTATCGACGCACTCTTAATATTTTAATCTATATAACATATACATTTAAAATTTCACTAATCCATTTTTATGCGTGAAACTGAAAGAAAGAGATCACGATGATTATTTTGTTAACATTCCAAAGTTGAAAAAAAGGATTATGTAATCCATAGACACAATGTAACTTTATATAATTACTCATAAAGCATTTAACTGTTTTGATGAATTCAAAACTTATTTACTTAGAATAATACTTACACATGATGAATTAATATATTTTAAAGCGAATTTTAATATTTGAGTTCTCAAAAATAAAACATTTTCGATATATTTTCTATTTAATCTATTTATTGGTAAGTAGAAAACTAATAATAATTACAAAAACAACTTTAAAAACATTAATTTTTCTCTCTATTGTTAAAACCAGTTCTGATCTTATGAAAAATTTAATTTTTTGGGTGACAAAAAAAAGGAAATAGTTGATGTACATTATAAATTAATACAACTTTATTATTGTACATGTTGCATCTGTTCTTACTTCTGTCAGTTTTGAATGCACTTAAAATAAATTTAATAATAAAAAATGCGATTCCAAAAGAAAATGAAACTGACCACTAGAAATGCATTCACATAAGACACTATAGTCAATATCAAAAAAATCAATTAATTCGCTACTTTTTTACATGTTGATCAGAGTGATATAACAGATTTTTTATACCGCATATAAATATCTTCATATCATATGTCTATATATTCAAGAACTGTGTACATTAGTCTTCTAAAGTTGGTACTGGAGAGACATTTCTCTCAAAATTTGAAAGTAATTAGCATTTTTAGAACACCGCTATTCTTTATCGGACTAATGTAATAAGCATCATTAAGTCTTCGGTTCTCTATATCATTTATTTCAAAAACTGGAACTTTTTCTTCAAATCTCAAACAAATTTTTAATTAGCTAAATTATTATTAGCCGAAATTTAATAAGCCAGTTTATTTTGTAATGTTTAACGAATATTCAGGCTTCACTTCCGGATTGTCAGCGGCTTCTATCCAGTCGACTACCCTCACGTAAGCTGATGGTTTTTCGTTAAGTTTGGCAACTTGATTTCCTTTTCCTTTAATGGAAAATTGAACAATAAGATATGGTTTGTTAATGAAAAGTTAGTTTTGAAATCAGAATTAAATGCAAATTTCGGGCATCACTAGAAAGAAGAAAACAGGTTTTCACTCTGAATTGATGAATGTGTTAAATTTGAAATGATTCGTAAATATTTTTCTCATACCAGCGGCCCAAAAGCGACAAATTTCTTTCCGCTGTTCGGGCCACTGGGTATGAAAAATCGTATACAGGCCTGGGTCACGAAAATAGAAAGCCCAAGTGCACATGCTTATCGGTTTCGACCGCTAATTACGCGTGCCCTGGGACTTTTTTTCGCGGCCTAGGACTGTAATATACTAATTCTTGTCCTGTAATATTACAAAGGAAAAAATCTCGAAAGTAATTCAGTAAGGCATTGGAACCAAGATGTGAAAGTGTTTCACACAACCTAAAAAATATGATGATGCCCGAAGCTCAAAATATGTTGGAAAATGTTTCTTTTTGAAAGCCTACTACTTATAACGTATGAATTTCCTGGTCGTACAAAAAATGTTAATTTTCGAAATCTTATGAAAATGAAACTTTTGATGCAGGTGAAAAATTCATCGGGTTGATTTATGTTTATAGGAATAGTTTCCATTACTTTAGGCAAATTGTTATATCATTTGAATTATTTAAATAGTATGAGCATGCATTAAGCGGATTCATTTCTCACGTAATATTTATAATTCAAGAAAATTATTATCAAGCTAGTTTCAATGTGATGCATGTAATCTTAAAATACTAAAAAAGAATAAAAATATACTTAAAAAAATATGTCCTATATTGTTTTTAAAACGAATAATATAAATGAAAAATAAAAATAAAAGAAATTTGATTTAAGCAAATTTATTACATTATAAAATTTACAAATTATCCGTATTGTAAATATTACAAAAAAGTGCAGCAAAAATAATTCCCAACATGAAATAAAGAACTTAAAAGCCTAAAAGTAATAAATTATTTAAATGATTTTACGAAATTGCATGTAAAATGATGTAGAAGCAAAATTTTGATCTTTCACAACAAGATCCAGAAGAAGGAAGGTCGAAACAATCTTAATTAAATGAAATTATGATACACGTTATTAATTATTATAAAACTTAATATGTTGAAATTAAAAATTAAATATTTACGATAAGAAATGAATCCAAGTATTTTCATCAACAAGTGTGATAAAAGAACGACTAATGTTATAAGAGGCAACATTCAAGTCTATTTATGTTACAAGATGAAAACAAAAATTTGACAGAAAAAACTCAACCTACTTAGTCCAACACAAAGTACAAACAGAAAATAAAGTACTGGAGTTATATTCAATCATATCTTATGATCATGACAAGTCAAATTTTTTTGAAATTACATGAACTACTATCTATTTTTGCACGTAAATCTACCATGATATTGCAAGTATAAAAATTAAGGTAATGCAACATTCTATTTACATAATCAAACATGGTAAATCCAATTGTATGATTTTTTTTAAGTATGAAATACTTAACTACGAGAAAATATATTGATTTTTTTTCAACTAGACTAAGTTAAAAGTGGATCACGAAAAAATTTCTTTTCAAGAAATTGAAAGAATATTTTTAGTTTTCACTGTGAGAATATTTCCAAGTTACCGCACAATTTATATGCATCTATATAGGTAGCCAATGAATTGTTTTAACAAGTTCGCGGCCACATGCTTCCATGTGATTTGCATATAAGAATTAATATATTTACGTGAATCAAGTTAATTTATCAAGAAGTATTTGATAATTGCTTTGAATTTTCAAAGAAACAATCGATATCGAGTATAAGAATGTATTAACAAATTGGAATAAAGCAAAACTTAAAAGTCACCGTGCTTTATTACGATTTATTGCTACCACGGATGGAGTTATAAGAAAATTTAAGTCTTGATTTGAAACCATTTATATTCATATTCGATTCGAATTGAAAACAGACTATTTATAATGATCAACGAAACTTAAAAGTTAGGTTGAAATTATCTTTGAAAATTCAAATGTGAGTGGGGTGAGTGTGCATGCGTGCGTGCAATTATTAACGTGGTACACGAGGAATGAGCCAGTCTTCTTCATGAGCACCTGATTGAGCTGCCGCTTGAGCGGGTGCCTGGCTTTGTCCGGCGCCTTGCCCTTGCGTTAACTGCGATTGTCCAGGTCCAGGCGTGGCCGCACCCAAACCATTATTGATGTTCACTGCGACCTTTTGTTTCAACATCGTCCAATCGAACGTGTAGTCGTATTGATAATTTAGCGTACGGAAGAGTATGCGGAACAGTTGGCGAAGATACATGTAATCAGGACCTTCTTCAAAACGTAAGCCTCTGCAATAGTTCAGGTACATTGAGAACTCGGCAGGGAAGCCCTAGATGAACAAAAAAATGGTTTAATTGTAATAAATTTAGAGATATTTAATCATGAGAGATTGTAATGATTAAATCAAAGTAAAATATTTAACGGTTAATGGTCAATGAACTAGATTCTAATTTCAAATATTTGCAAAGCAAAGCTTACTTATTGCTCTTTGATAATAGTATTAAATTTATTATATCATTCACAATTCTTTTTACACATACCTTACACAAAACTTCAACGGGAGTGGACATTTTTTTCTCGCTAATTTTTTCATACTTCTGTTTTTTTGTAGCAGCTTTAAGACCTTGCCAAGGTAATGATCCCCGATTGAAATACATGAGCACATAGCCGAGTGATTCCATATCGTCTCTGCGGCTCTGCTCAATGCCCAAATGAGCATTAATTGAGGCATACCTAGCTGTACCTGTTAAGTTTTTGTCTTCACGATACGATATGTGCATTCTTGTACGGCTGTCGCGGAACTTTTTGGCCAAACCAAAATCGATGAGGAATAGCTAGAATTGATAATTGCATGATAAAAATGTTTAAAATATTTCAAAATCAAATTAAAAGCCAATAAATAAGGGAAATTAACAATAGATAAAACTAATTATAATTACTGTCGCATAAATTAAATTATATTTGTACCTTATTGCAGTGGCGACCAATGCCCATTAGGAAGTTGTCAGGCTTGATGTCTCTGTGAATGAAGTGTTTGCAATGAACAAATTCAATTCTGCCAATCATTTGATCAGCCAACATCAGTACTGTTTTTATTGTAAATTTCCGTGAACAATATGTGAATAAGTCTTCCAACGAAGGACCTAAAAGGTCCATTACAAGCACATTGAACTCTCTTTCAACTCCATACCTAGAAGAAATGATAATTTTATATTAAATCAAAAAGTTTGCAACAATTTGTTGTGAGTTATTTAACTTTACCCTTTTAAGGAGATCCATAACCCAGCCCAAAAATCAAAATTCGATCTAGTTTTCTGAAACTTCTAGTGAATATTTTTCTAAAAGGCTCTATGGGGACCTTCATCTTGATATTTTTAAGGTCGCCATAGAACCATTTAGAGAAATATTCACTAAAAGTTTCAGAAAACTGGATCAAAATTTTGATTTTTGGGCTGGGGTACGGATCTCCTGAATACTTATTTTAATCCTTTTGAACTCACCAGCGTATGTGGGGTATTCCAACTCCTCCATGTAGGATCTTATATAATTTTGACTCATACATTAATTGTGGATGACGGGCCCTGACATTTTCCAATTTGATAGCAACTTCCTATAATATTAAAAATTACATTTTACTTTAGTTTCTGGTATAACATACTTCAAATGTTAAATATGAAATTGATACACTAGTGTTATTTGAAATATTAGTTTATAGAATTTTCATAGAGTTAAGATATAAATTGCTACATTTAAATATTTGTTGAATTTAAAGTTAAATAGTTTTGGTTTTTTCATTATAATTACTTTGCATAAGATAATCTAAACTAAACTTTGTATTTGTTTATTCAATCTTGTGCTTCAATAGAATTAATCAAAAGGTAGTGTACAGTGGAAAAAATTTATAAAATCAGGAATAAATTTTCTAGTAAAACTAAATAAGTTTTTTAATTTAATATTTAAAAGATACTATAAAACGAAAAAAATGTTGTACTAGTTTACAATTCATTATTTATAAATTGGTATCAATGTGATTAGAGCAATTCATTAAATGAGTTTCATGCAACCCTTTTGCTTTTCTCAAAATGTATAGTCTCTTATGGCCCACGCGATTTTCTCACCTCCTGAACCTTGGCCCATTTAACTATAGCTTTCCCAGGCACAGATAGGAAATAAGCACATAATATTGCGTGAGAGCATATTTCTTCTGTATTAATTCGCGAAAAGTTGGTATATTTGCAGATCACGTCCAAGGTTTTAAACAAGAAATGAAACGAAACATCGTGTTTGGACGGAAAATCGTCGTTAGAAGGGAAACATCAATAGAAAGCAACGGAAGGGTACAATGAATTTCGAAACGTCAGAATCATAATCGTTGCGATGTCATATAAAACGTCAATGGCGATAGTTCATCCATTGGGATCGTTCAAGGTTCATGCAGAAAGAAAAAGAAAGGAAACTGACGCTGTTGAGCGCAGTGCAAAAAATTCAGCATGAGACTTTGGCTTTTTCGCCGCCATGTTTTTGACTATAGGTACACATTGCTCTCTTCTTGTCGCACGCGAAGCATCTATATCTATAGAGGTGTAAATTCGCGCATACATATGTCTTGGTGCGTGTCAGTGTGAGGTGCGCGCGTAGATGTGTGTGTGCGATTTGTCGAAACAGCGCAGCGGCTGATGCTCTCGAAAGGTTACAAGGAAAATTCGCGAGATCCGTGGAATCGAGTCGGGAAACAAACGGAAACGTTGAGAATTGAAGGCATCGAATGAAGTAAAACGGAACCTTTGCGAATCGAGGTTATTACGCGCGTTGCTCAAACACATAATGGAGGACAGAGAGCGAGTGAGCGAGCGAGATAGAAAGAGAGAGAGAGAGCGAGAGAGAGAGAGAGAGAGAGAGAGAGCGAAATCAGCTCACCTCGCCATTGGACACGTTGATGCCTAGGTAGATATCTCCGAAACTACCCGAGCCAATTTTTCTCATCAATCGGTATTTGCCACCGACGATGAACTCGGTTTTATTCACAATTCCTATGATCGACATGGCTGATGATGTGCCGCCCTGCTGTTGTTGCTGCTGCTGTTGCTGCCGCACGCTCGCTACTGCTGCTGCGTTAGCTCGTTGGTCGGCGGCCGTCGTAGGTGATGAAGCTCGTTGCCACTCGCGTATGCTCCTTTCCAGGTTCGGTGGCAGAGCCACTTTATCTTCTTTACTGTGATCCACGTTTGTCGACGAACACTCGAACCACGGCTATTTGCCACTCATCTATTCGCGAACATCGACGACCACAGTTGGCTCTCGTGTCGATCGTTCTGCTGCTGCTGGTGCACGGTCTCGTACGCGGGCCGAGAGCCGTCGTTGCGTTTTTTTCTAAAGACGTGGCGCGGCTCGGGGGCCTTTGTTTAACACAATTCCGCCTGCGTTGCAGCCGTTGCGACGGAAGATAACGACGGCTATTTCTCGAGTGCTATCGCGATTCGCGAGCCAGTCTCACACGCACATTAAAACGATGCACGCACAGCATATACTTGATATTTATCGAAAGAATGAAATAACTATAATGAGCAGCAGTTGCAGTTGGAACCAGCGGCACACATACGATCGACGCCTCGACGGATAACGAATCGCAGCATATATAGCATGTATAACATACGAGCGCCTAGAGCTATGAGTCAGGCGAGGATTCGGACGACGTTTTTCCAGCCCAGTTGGCTCATAGGCGTATTTGCGTGTCCGCAGAATCGAGAGATGTCTTCCTTAGGCACAGCACGACGCACTGATCTCACTGCTGCTATGCCGTTGCTCGCGATGCCGCGCGTGTTGTCTTGTCCGACTGTCTACACTGTACTGTGTGCCAACGCACATACGCCACTGCCAATATATAATTCGGAAACTCTCTTCGTCGCGCATACACACACACACACAATCGCATACATATATAGGTAGCGCGGTTTATATATATATTTTGCGATATACGCGCTATATAAGCCCAAAGCAGCAGCGATGTGATTGCCGTGTTAGCTCTCTCTCTCTCGTATAAACTGGCCTGCCGTGAGCGCGATCTTCGAGCTCTGTAGCTGCCAAAGCGATTTGTGACTTGGTAATATTACTCTCTTATTTTTGTGTGTAAATATCCAGTGTATACACACACTTGAGCGGGGCGCGACGTAATAAATGTATCTACTATGTGTTCGTAGTATCACACTAGCTTCTGTGTATCTACTACTTAAGGGCTTATACACACCTTAAAATTACATTAATTTAAAATGGTTGAAAAAAAAAGTAAAAATAAAATCTGGTGAATTGGAAAAATTCTACAGTTTTCAAACAGTTTTTCCAACCAGAAATCACACTAACATACCCCAAATTAATTTTTATATAGCCTAGTTTGTGTAGGCAAGTCAAAATTCTAAAAATAAATCATACCCCCCTTTGCCGTAGAATTCCAATAGATCAAATCATTTTTAAGACCCCAGTGACATACCAATCTGTTTGTTAGAACCTTGGCTATGGCCGCTACCACAGGCAAGACTTTTCATAAAGCCTTTCTATATTTATATTATGTATCACCACTTTTATTTAAAATTTTTATGTAATTTTTGATAATTTTGGAGGTAGTCAGCTTATAGAAAGCTTTACAAAGGTCCAAACATCTTCCCTGTGGTAGCGGCCATAGCCACACATGTGCTGAAGTAGCCCCTACAACCTAGACACAGTAGGTCAAACGGTTCTGTTGGAATATTACGGCAACAGGGCCATTTTGACAAAAATCACAACTTTACAGAATAAGCGATTAAAGAAAAAACTTCAATATACTCAAATAACTTTAGTTATTCACTCTCTTATAAGAATAATATTTTTGAAAGTGAATCAGGAAAGTTTTTCAAAGTAATCATGAACATTTCTGTGACATTTTCATACTAACTGGTACATTGCACTCATTTTACCATGAAAATGTAACTTTCTGTGGCAGAACAATTGTAAATAATGTTTACTTTGAACTCACTAACAAGTAACTTTTATTGTAAGAAAGAACATGTTGGCATTTATAAAACTACTATGAACAATACTTTTTCAACAAACATTACAACAATAATTTCTGCAATGAACTTCTATATCTTTAAATTGTTATGGTTCAATCAAATGTTGTGCAAGATGAAAATGTCACTTTGAAATAAACTGTAAACTTTATGATTTCACAAAAAACTAAGACACAAATTAATTAAAACAAATAAATTTTACTGGATTATTTATCTTACACTACACTACACATCATTCAATAATATTTACACATGAAAATAATCAACAAGTTATATTTTGAACCATCATCTGTCAATTAGTACACATGTGCTTTTAGCTGTCTGCTCTATATCTGTCTCTCTCGCGGCGCCTTGCTGTATTCACGCGCTAACCTCGACAAATTTCGTTAGCCGGTTCACTGGCGAAGTGAATCTAAAATTTCGTTGCAAAAAAATGTCAAATTAAAGTGAAATTGAACATAGAAAAGTGGTATTTTGACTATCATTCTTACTCACCGGAAAGTCCAGTACAATCAGATAAGTATTTGCATTCTCTAATTCTATTTTCATATGTAAATTTGATGAATGATGCTTTGTGTTGACTTCCAGGTTAAAGTACCAACTTTTTTTGGATGAATCTTCCCAAAGTTTGCTGTTAAAATCTAAGAAAAGAATCATAAAGTTTCAAAATGGTAAGTGTACTCTTGTTGATTTTTATTTATTATATTTTTATAACACACAATATGTTTTTTACTTACAGCTGGAGCGATAACTTCAATGACCACCAGGTACATAACTGTCATCGTTGGGATCATTGTGTCTTCTTTTCAATCTAGCAGATCTCGCTTGCTTAGAAGATGATGCAGCTTGAATATTTGCCTGGTAAATTCTTTTATCATCACTTTGTTTCATGAATTCAATTGCGTTTGGGCCTGGCTGAATATCTAATTCTTTCATAATTTTCAGCAGAGCAGTTTTACCATCATTGAATGTGGACACTGCTATGAAGGCTCCAATGTTCAAAATAGTACCACCACTCCACTGTTTTTTTGGTACATACTTCCACAGTAAATGATTCAGGGATTCATTGACGTTCTGAGAAAATGCTCCAATACATTTTACCAACAGTTCTGGCTTGGAGAGCTCTTCGTAGGTCTTTTCTATTTCATCCATAATTGCTTCAGGTATTGAACTGTTGTGCGTGAATTTTTTTAAAGTGCCCTGTGCTTTGGCCTTCTGCCATTTGCACCAAGAAGTTGCTCCAGCTGGACATAAGTGGTGTTGTGGTTTTTTATCAGTGGACTTTTTGTGAAAGAAAGTGGCCCATATATCATTTCTCATGCTAGTGACAGTAGTGTTTCTTCTAATCGCTTGAGTGTAGTACGATGACAGCTGATCTATCACTTTGGCTGTCAATCTTCCTTTTCCACCTATTGTTTTCCCATCACTTAGCAAGGTTCTTCCAAATCTCTTCTTTATGTTGCGTAAATGAGTTCCCATNAAAGCGCTGAAAAGGGGAGAAAATTTCCTTTCTGAAACACAAATAAAAAAAAAATCGATTTTTGAAAAAATTAAGGTGTATATAAGCCCTTAAGAGCCTCGCGCGATTCGATGACGATGATCAGAGAGTCGGGGGAAAAAAAAGTAAATAATCGCGCTTATATTGTGTGTCTTTTGTTGCTTATCGTTGGAAAACGAGCGAGGAGCGAGGAGAGAACTGGCTGGTCTCTCACTGCTGCCCGACGTGCAGCATATGCTCAATCGTAATGTACGGACGTCGGAGACGAGCGAGATCAACCGACCCACACGTAGAAATATACATACACACATACACACACACACACACACACACACATTCGCACACGAGACGCGACAGGCAGGCAGGCGCACACACACACACAGCTACAACTGCTCGAGCGTCAAGTGTGTTTCCACGAGTGTGTGTCTGACTGTGTGCTGTGGCGAGGTGCTTGCCTGTGTGCACGTACGCACATGTACATAAACAGCGCACACCGACACACACAGATCCGATGTATACTCTGTGTACAGTGTCGGACGCATATAACCCATCTCTTTCCAATGCACGGCCGACTCCGCGCCCCGTTGCTAATACGCTTATTGTCTCGAAAAACCCGTCGTTGCTGGCTTTACTGCTGCTGCTGTTGCTGCGCTGAGTCGCGAGCATACGACTCAAACGACGAGTTGCACGAAATCGCTGCTCCCTATACTGCGCGCGCGCGCGAAACAAAGATAGACAAACTAAACTGGATTTTCATCGTCTTCCTCTCTCTCTCTCTCTCTCTCTCTCTCTCTCTTTCCTTCGCAATCTCGAGTTCAGTCTTCACTCTTGCTCTCTCGGTTTTAGTTTATAATACTTGCGGCTGGCGAACTCTTATGTATATACGCTTCACGGACTGCAATTCAGCCTCTCGAGTCTCGCCTGCACTCGACTCGTGATGTACACTTTCGTGCACACGCCTTTTTTCATTTTCTTTTTCCTTCTTTTTTCATTTTTTTCATGGATTTTACTATTTTTATCCCTATTCCCATCTCTTTCTTTCTCCACTTGATTATTTTTATCATGTTTGCAGTTGGATCATGTTTCTCATTTTCTTCGTCTACTCTATGGCTGGCCTCAACAGGTCATCATTGTTTCACCAATTTTATTCGACTATTGAAAAAATCCTTCACGGAAAGGTGATATATTTTGTCGATTTAAACGTATCGAGAGCCATTTTACGAGATTCTAGTATGTAATAACGCGTCATTATGGAGTCTATAATCTGTTTTAGTGTGACCGTAACGGGACTTTTAACAGAAAACCCTCGCACGCATGAACATATACAGCGACAGCAGCAGCAGACTTTCTATATAGGCGAGCTATAGGCAGCAATATGAGTCAACGCTACAGTATGCAATGTGTGTACTTTTAGTGCGCGCGAGTAATGATGCCGTTGCTTCTCCGTCTTTGTTTGACTCGCTGGTTGCCACGATGACGTGCGCGCGGGGCGAGTTGTATATATAGCGTCGACGATTGAAGGTGCATTATATATATAAATATGTACACGCGCGCATGCATCGTCGGGCCAGGCAGGCAGGCGGGCAGCAGCTGGTGTTTCGCCACACGCACGCACTCACACAGGCGCACCTTTGCGAAGCCTGAGTGTCAGTGCGATGTAACGCATATAGCGCGATTATATGGCTCTACCTACACAGTCGACTTGACACATCGGAGCAGCGTCGACGTTGTAGGTATATACATACATGTAATGCGGCCCTGCAGAAAAGAACGAGAGCGAGCTCAAAGCTGCAAATTTCACATTTAACTTTATCTATAACGTTGCACGCTCGCAGACGTGTGCGTATTTATGCACATTACACGATATCCTATATAATATGTTCAACTGAGCTCGCGCTCGTTCGCTGTCGTGCACACAGAGTGCAAATGAAAAATATAATCTCTGCACCGCTGCTACTGTTACTGCTCCGGGAGCTCCAATTAGCAGATGCGAAAAAGCCTATATAGGCATTTTTTTTTTCTTTTCCAAGAACTTCCGTGATCGAGTTGTGTGTATGACTTCGAATTACATCGATTCGAGTGAATTTTGACAACAATGACAGCCGATTTCTCGGAATCACGCCATACATAACGGCGCTTGCTGGCTTTCTCAAACAATATTATACATATCATTATAGTTGCCACTATATAGTTTATTATGACCCACCGCGCCGCGATGCGCACTGGCTTTTTTTATTTATGGAATTATCATGCCATTCAATTTCTAACAGGATACGTGCGTTGCGCTCGCACGAGTGCGAATATGTTTATGTTGTTTTGAATTTTATAAACAGCCGAAAAACACCAGTATGAGATAAGGAATTTTGATGTAAGCAGATATTCTTGAATGTTGTGGTTTGCCTTTATCGTTCGATAATTTTTCATCATATTTAATTGAATTATGGAAGATATTTACCGACACTACATCTGAAAAAAAACTGGGAAAAATGGTGAAATTAAGCACTGATCCATAAAATCTCGTGCACCGATTTGAAAATGTACGATTACGAAATTAAAAACGTCTCGGAAATAATAAATTTTTCAAAACCATTAAATTTCATGTAATTGTAGGTATATATTTGAAATATACAACTTATTCATCGTGCTTGTTATAAAAATAATTTTTATTTGTTCGAAAAGTATTTTAAATTTTTTTTTGAAAGAAGCGCCAAAAAATTGGCGTTTCTGATGGCGCAATGTGCAGATTGCAGACTGCTACGATAAGACCACGCATAGCAGAAAGCTTTGTGCCTAGTTCGGATGAATGGATTGATCACGCACATTCGCCAGTTGCATTCGTTACGACGATTTTTCTAAACTCTCCTCCAAACTATCATTTTCCAAGATCTTTTTTCGTTTTACTTTGATTAGTTGTCAATGGCAGCAGCTTTGCTGCAAAGAGGCAGAGTTGTCAAACTCCTGGGCAGCTGCTGGAGATACATAGAGTACCCAATTTTAACCTCTAACAACAGAACCATCATGACAAGCCGAGCGAGATTGGAAAAAGCCGTCGAAGAGATTCAAAAAAATCCTTACTTTGACAAATATGCCCAAAAAATTGCGAAGCTTCAGCAAACTAGCCCCGAGGAATTCCTCAAGCGCATTGATGAGCAAAAGCGCAAGGAAAAGGAGCAAAAAGGTAACTTTTATTCATTATTTGTCAATTAAAAATCCTTGGCAAATTAAATATCAAGTACATTAATTCCCAAAATATCAAATCATTTCAATTGTGAGACAAACTTACCTTTTTAATGTAAAAAATTATACATCTATTATATAAAAATTTCGTTCAATTTGATTGTGACAACAAATATCCCTTTTCAAGAAAAATTACGGCAAGAGAAACAGTTTGAAGCCACACAGTTTGTAAAACCAAAGTTAGATGCTGCTATGCAAACTAAACCAGCTGAGCTCAAATCAATCATGAAGATGGAACTTATTGAAGGCAAAAACAAAGAAGAAATTACTCATATTTGGCATGAGTACCATAAACATAAAGACTCCATTGCTGCTGTTGTGTCAAAAGAACAATTTGAAAAAATGTTTGCACGAGGAGAAAAATACAAAACTTTTCTTCTTCCCCTTCCACGTGAAAAAGGATATGAATTTATTGTATGTCAATTTCAAGGACCAAAAGTTCATATGACTCCATTGTTGTGGTATCAATCACATAAAGAAAATGCACCAGAGTGTTTAACTTTGACCTACTATACAGAATTAATGGATACTAAAGATATTATATTGATGAGGGGTGAATTTGACACTAATTCTTTGTCAGTTACTGAAGCACAATGTTTAGCAAATGAATTACAAATGTACTACATTTCTGATCATCCTCAAAGATTAAAACTACTTGAAACATTCAATGAGAGACCTGATGAATTCAAACACATGGATTTAATTGCTCATTTGGAAACTATTTCATTTGATCCTGGTGCAAGCAGTTCTATGCCTCTTAAACAAAATGCAAAGAAAACTTCATAACTATAAAATTGAATCAATTTATTTGTTATTGTCAAAAGCTGTTTTATTATAGTAATAAAAATTATTGAACACATTAAAACCTCATCTGTTATTTTTGTCTTACATTTGAAATGATTTAATATAAACCAATATATGTTATTTTATTTTTGTGCCAACAATTTTCAGTTCTTTTTACTTCTTCAAAATTGAAACAAAAACCACAATCTTGGTGCGTTACTTCTCATTTATGGCGGTCCAATGTAATTCAAAATCCAAAAATGGTTAGAGCATACTCTCAAGTCTCAAATCCCAATAAGTACATTACCACACCAATTTTCTATGTCAATGCTGGTAAATATCTAATATTTCATTTACTAACACTTATTACATGAAAAAAATATTTAATCATAACTGTTTTAGATCCTCACATTGGACATTTATATACTGCCAGTATAGCTGATGCAATTGCAAGATTTAATTTGTTGCAAGGAAACAATGTTACCTTCACAACTGGTACAGATGAGCATGGCAATAAAGTATTAAAAGCAGCTGATCATTTTGATTTGAATATTGATGAATACTGTAAATTCATATCCCATAAATTCAGGGATATGTGTGACACATTTGATATCAGTTATAGTAATTTTATAAGAACCACAGACCATCATCATCAAAAAGCTGTTCAGAAATTTTGGGTAATTAAAATGAATCTCTTTTTTTTAAATTTTGTATCATTCGTCTGATCCAAAAAATTTTCAGACTGTTCTTGAAGAAAAAGGGCACATTTATCCAGGTGGTTACACCGGATGGTATTGCACTGCTGAAGAATCATATCTAACAGAAAAAGACCTTGTAGAAAAGAAAACAGAAACTGGAGAAATTATTAAAGTTTCAGCCGAAACAGGTCATCCAGTTGAATGGTCTGTAGAAGAAAATTATAAATTTAAACTCAGTAATTTTGAAGATGATTTAAAACACTGGCTCAAAGATGGTAACTAATATTTTTTATAACAATTCATTTTATTGAAAAATTAAAAATTGCTTTTTGTACTGTTACTGAATTTTTGTACATTTTTTTTAGTAAAAGTTGTGCAGCCTACAAACTTTCACAAAGTTTTGACTCATTGGATTGAAGAAGGTGGCTGTTCAAATGATTTGAGTATATCAAGACCAGCAGCTAGATCACCATGGGGTGTGCCTGTTCCAACTGATGCCAGTCAAACAGTTTATGTATGGCTTGATGCTTTGGTAAATTACTTGTCTGCTCTGGGATATCCTGATGAAAGTTACAAGAAATTTTGGCCACCAACTGTTCAGGTAATTATTTTTGCTTTACCTTTTTTGACATCACTAAATATATACAAAATTAAAATTGGAAATGATGTAGGTGATAGGCAAAGATATTCTTAAATTCCATGGAATTTATTGGCCAGCATTTCTCATGGCAGCTGGCTTAGAACCTCCCAAAACCATTCTTTGTCATTCACACTGGACAGTTAACGATGAAAAAATGTCGAAATCAAAGGGCAATGTAGTTTCACCTTTTGCAGCAGGAAAATTATTTACTGATGAGGGTTTAAGGTATTTTCTTTTGAGAGATTCAGTCCCTCAAAATGATTCAAGTAAGTTAAAAGATACCATTCTGTTCGGACATTTTGAATGTTTCAATTTTTTGTAAAAAAAATATTTATGTTATGTTTTTTTCTTACTCTACAGATTACAGTTTGGAGCGAGTTCAAAATATTTTAAATTCTGAGCTTGCTGACACATTAGGAAATTTAGTTAGCCGCTGCACCGGAAAAGTAGTAAACCCAAACGGGGAAATACCGAGTGTATCTGTCTATGGTAAGACTTTAAAATCTGAACAGGCAGAAAAATTGCGAAAAAATATCGAAAGCTTAGGTGATTCTGCTAAACAACAATACGAGTCATTTATGATTCATCACGCTGCCGATGTAGTTTTGGAAACTCTCCGAAGTGCTAATCAAATGGTCGAGTATCATAAGCCATGGCAGTTGGCCAAGGAATCTGATAACGAATCTTCATCTGAAGAATTGAAGGCAGTAATTGCGTTGGCCATGGAAGCTGTAAGAGTCGGTGCTATTGCATTACAGCCTGTTGTGCCTAAACTGAGTGGTAAATTGTTAGATTCTCTGCGAGTACCAAATCATGCTAGAAAATGGAAGGATACAAAACCAAAATATCTTAGTGGGGAAAGTAAATCTGAGTCTGAAAAATTTAAAAGTAAAAGTGGTATTCTCTTTCCAAAAGTAAAGGTAGCCGCGTGAAAACCTGACGAAAATTAGCTATCTAATCCACTGCCGCTAATAAATAAGTCAGCATTTGTTAAGTTTAATTTATCTTTGTAATATATGTGATAATAAATATGACGTATTAAAGAAAAGAGGTATTTTATATTTGAAATTAATTTAAATTTTTTTGGAAAACATTGAAAGGAACGTAATGAAACAAGAATAGTTTGTCTCAAAATCACCCATATTTCTTTTATTCATATATTTACACAGTGTGATCATTCGAGTATGTTTTTAGTTAAAACGTTTATTTTTAATACGTAACATGGCAACGAGAGGGTTTATAGATAAAAATAATTTTGAACTAATCCAAAATAGTTTTAGACATAGTATTCATACTTCGTTTTTGTACTTAAAAACATCTAATCTGATTTTTTGGGTCAATAACAAATGTTTAAAACAATCTCGCTGCAGTGCTTACTTATCGTCAGTTTTTAAAATTATTTTACTTTTGTGGGAAGCTCATCGAATCTCATGTACAATTCAACCGTCCTACGTATATACACAACAGATGCTCGAGATTTAAATAATGATTTAATCTTAACATGGCGAACTTGAATGTCATTAATCGATCTTTGGACGGCCCTTCCAATACTCTCGCTACTTCCAATAAACCTGGATATGTTCTCAGTTTTTTATTTTATTAGTAACACATTTCGACTTGTTGATAATTGATTTTGATAAAGGAAACATTTTTTCTCCTATCTAAAAATGTGTGCTTCTGAATGTAGCATGAAAATCAACTTATCAAAAGCGCAGAGAAAAAATAAAATACATACAAAATTCAATGAAAAGATTTATGCGTTAATAAATATTGGCTAGATTATTGTGAGGACGAGATTATGTCAAGCTCACAATTTTTAATTCGATTATCTATTATTTATTTATAGCTACTGACTTCTATAATCACCGTTTTAATCAAGTTTATGAAAAGATAAACTTTGAAATGAAAAGTAATATTAATAATACTTTCGAATGGCGAATTAAATTATTTTTAAATGCAAACTAATTTTTCAATTGCTTTCGTACACGCAACTATTATAATTATGATAAGCAAATGCTCAAATATCTAAAAATAATAAACCTAGTTTACAGAATTTGAATCTACTACTTAAAATCATTCAAATTCAGGATGAGAAATCTGGTGCATTTATTAAAACAATAAGTGCGCATCAATTTATAGAGAAATTTTTTTTACCATTTTAACATTTATACTTATACATATTTTTTTATTATACATAATACATTTCTTAACGGAATTTTCATCATTAAAATATTTACAAAGAATTTTGTTAAACAAATATCACATTGCATTTTTCCATTGAAAATACTGTTAATTGCTTAGTTTATGTTACTGATAAATTTGGAAAAACGATGTCAGAAGAAAAATATCATAAATATATGTTTCTGTTATCGCGAAATGTCACAATTTTTAAGCTCAATAAAAAATTTTAAAAATTAATAAATAAATAAAATTTTGAAATATTTTGCAGATACATCGATATAACGCAATGAATAACACTCATTCGTTCAATTAATTGGGATTGGTCTTTTTTTCCTTCACGATACATGCACAAAGTACCCTGTTACCATCAGATCAATAATAGTTATATATTTATCAAAATCTATAAAATTCATTGAAACGAAAAAATTAATGATTAAATTTTATGAAATTTTTCTTTAATCGACAGTTTTCCAATTAGATGCACCATAGTAACATAGACTTATTCATAAAATACGTCATTATTATATACATACACTAATATTCCTACTGATAAAAAAATTATTTACACTTTGTTAATTAAATCATTTAAAGACGTAATGTCAAAATACAATTACTTCGCTATCATAAACATCGCTAATCGTCCGATTCATTTAAAATTGATTATTTTGAGAAAGTTAACGATGGTAGAATTTAGAGTGTGAAAAAACAGTTTCATGATAGCTCATATTTCCGTAGGATGGAGATACTTGCGCTCGAGTTTCATAAATTTTTGAAATAGTCTGCTTATAATTTAACATTGCGAATTATTATTAATTAATAATTATCGCTTCATGTAATCAGTGCATATGATACGAATATAAGCGTATTCAATCCCTATAAATATGTCTCATTATGTGTCTAACCATAAAAATGAATGAATAACCAACAATTAATTGTCCTACTTAAAATTATACAATTATTATCACATTATAAATCATTAAATGCTAAAAATTATTCATGTTAAAGCTTTCATACTAAGCCCATGATAAATCAGGTACGTTTTAGAAAAACACGAAATATCTCTGCAGTAATATTAATTTCAGATCGAAAAATGAAAGTTTCGCTTACACTAGGTCAACAAGAGTATTTGTAGCGCTGCAACCCCTTTGAGACTTTTTTCCATTGAAATATTTACAAGTGTTGACGAATTTCATGAAAATTTGCTAAAGTACATTAGTGTAATTCGAGTCAGCGGTATAGCAGTTATTGGATCGGTGTTAATTGTGTGCACCTCTTTTTGCCTTCCGTAGAGGAGTTTTTAAGGAAATTGCACATCGAAATTGATTCAAACGCAAAGATAAAAATTGTTCGCGTGAATTCGGGTTGGAGTTGCCGTGGTAAATTCATCCTGCGCGTATTACTCATTTGTTTATGCTTCGTAGATATGTTACGTCATTTAAATTTAAAATATATCCAGTCTTGTGTTATCGGCGATGGGAAAACGAAAGGATCCGAACGAGTTAAATCTATTTTAGTGTATAGCAAGTGACGACGTTTTTTTTTAGAATAATTATACAACAGCTATATACCCATATATACCGTCATTATAATACAGGTATACAATATAATAATGCGTGCTCGCGTGGCTTTACAAGACCGTGGCTCGAGATATGTGTGTGGTCCTCGTGACGACTTTGCGCGAACTCGGGTCGCCGCCCACGACGAAAGTCGCGCAAACGAAGATTGTCTATATGGCACTGGCTACGGTGTCCCTGTGGCGCTGCTGCTGCTGGAGCTGCATGTGCTGCTGGCCGTAGGGTACGGCGACGTTGCAGCTGTCGGCGCTGGAGCGCGGACTGATGTTGCACTCGACCGTGGAGCCGTTGCGCTTGGTCGTCACCACCGAGCGGAACTCGCCGCACTCGCTCGTCGACGGCTGATTGTAGCGCGAGCGGGCCCCGCGCGTCAGGATGCGCTTGAACGCCTCCCGGAACTCCGTGTTGAAGATGCTGTAGATTATCGGATTGAAGGCCGAGTTGCTGTAGCCCAGCCAGGTGAGAATCTGAGCGTACGTAATTCGTGAAAATTCGGCCTCTCGTGCGATGCGACGCGTATCGTTTTACATTATACCTGAAAAGCCAGATCGGGTATGCAGGTCTTGCAGAAGGCCGCGGTGATGTTGACGCAAAAAAACGGCACCCAGCAGATGAGAAAGACCCCCATGATGACGCCCACGGTGATGGCGGCCTTGTGGTCGGACACGTGGTAGGGGCTGGTCGGCTTCGTTTTCGCGGGCTTGGGCTGCTTGGCTCGCTTGCTCTTGGACCGGAAGCTCTTGGCCAGCGACGAGGTCTCCGGCAGCTTCGTCACCGCTCGGATGTTCTTCACGTGCTTCTGGGCGTAGCAGTAGAGCCGACAGTAGATGCCGATCATCACGATGCACGGCACGTAGAACGAGATGCAGGACGAGACGATCGCGTAGGTCGGCGTCAGGTCCAGGGCGCAAGTCGGATACGTCTGCGAAACAGAGAGAGAGAGAGAGAGATGCAATTTGCGTCGAATGACAGTCAAGCGGTGTAGTTAATTGACGCTGCTTATATAAAAAGACAATTTTCGTTGAGGCAGGACCCGACTCGGCCCCCGTGTCAACGGCCTTTAACGATGTCACGCTCGACAACTTTTATCCTCGAGCGCGCGCGTTTACGCCAAAATAAAGAGATGACTTTTTCTCCGCAACAAGACTCCTGGTCCAAGTAATTAGGGATGGCAAAGTTTTGTGCGGTCGTCGCCGCCTCGACGCGAGAGCAAATCAAGTTAGAAAGCTGCCGCGCGCCACTTTCGAAGCTGTCGTCGTCGCGAGCTCGACGACGACGACGACGACGGCAACGATGCAGTGCCCAGTTGCTGCGCGCACCGAACGCACACCACCAACGTTGCTGCTGCTGCTGCTGCAGCTCAAGCAGTCGCGGACTTGCCCAAAGTTCGACCTACGGTGTAAGTTGTGTAGCTTCGCAAGCGAACGACAGCTCGGCCGCGGCCAACTTATGGACGAAGGGGAAGCTCCGCAGTACTTGCCACGAGCGTTTCAATTTATCGATACATCCGCGCGAGCGCCTCTTAAGGAATAACCGCAATCCGCCACGTTGAATTTCCAAATAAATAGTTTTATTAGCCAAATGAGACGACGAGTGTTTGCGCACATCCGAGCGTGATGAATTTATGCACACGAGTGGTCTGTGATACGTTTACTATTATTTTTGCCCTCACCATATTGCCAACTCTGTGAACCACGGGTGGCTCGTCGTTCGGCCTGTGATAGCCGAGACTTATCGGCAAGAACGATATGAGAATGGCCAGCAGCCAGACTACCAGGATGCTCGTCCAGGCGATTCGTTTGGAGATCCAGCGGCCGTACCTGCAAACAAGCGAAAAGTCCGCCTTGCATTAACCCGATCGATCGTTTTCCTGAGCAACTCTGCTCGATTTTCAATAAGACATACATTTATTTCAACTATTAACAACACTTATTATGCCACATCGTATTAAATATATAGATAGGTTTAATATAGAGTATAATATATGCCAAATTCGTGTATATGGATATATTGTGTATATTGTATAAATGCGACACAGTAATAAATTTTTTTTGCGGTATAAAATTGTGTATTATACAGAGAAAACTAAGTATTGAGTCAAGAACATTGTAATAAACAAAATATATATGTATAGAATTAATTCAGCCGAATACGAAAGATGTACCTGTAAATTCTGGATGATTTGACTTGTAGTCACTTTAAGATATCAGTCAATAGGTTCTATTCAATATCAACGCTATATTCAACACAACATCCTCATTATAAAAATCTCTTTTTTTCTCACTTAAATCTTAATTATTATAATTTTTTTTTCTTTTCAACTACGTTATTGATTGTCCCCAATCCTCCGACCCTTTTCTCTGTAGAATTTAAAAGTCATAGATATTTAATAATCATGTTAATGATGCAAATCATACAGTCTACAACGCAAGTGATTGTAATAAAAGCTCGCTAATTCATCAAAATTCATAAATATATGTATTATATATTTACTAAACGTACAAATATTAAAGTATACATTGAACTAAGTTATGTTTTGCAGTGAAGCTCATCGAAAATTTATTCACAAACCCGGAGTGCTCGCATTGCATTGAATTGCATTGCATTGAATTATGCATACAATATGTAAATGTATACTTCTTTTGTTTATAAACCATAAACATTTTAGGCTGTAGCACTTACGTTATCGTTAGAACCTCGCTCGATCGTTATGAACTTTGGCATTTCTTCTATTCAAATTGTTTTTTAACTTTATCGATGCAAAATGGCTAAATTAATTATTGTAGGATTATGAATATAATCAAAAAACATATAGACATTAGGATAAAAATGGATAATTATTTCAAGTATTTAAACAAATTTTAACTGGACATTCAAAGTTTGAAAAATATATAATAATATATTACAATAATTTTTTTTAAAATATCAAAGGGTTATATCTTGTAAGCAAATTCAAAACACTCCAGTCCACGTACTGGTGTGGCTGTTCAGAAATAAATATAAAAAAAAAATGAAAAAAAGTGCACAATAATAATACTCATAATATCTGATTAAAACAAGGTAAAAAAAAAGGTTCTGATTTCTTAAATGAAAAAAAAGCAAGAATGGAAGAAAGATGAATCTCACCTCAATGGATCCTTAATGTGTATATACCGATCGAGCGATATAGCGCAGAGATTGAGTATCGAAGCGGTGCTGCACATGACGTCGAAGGCGACCCACGTGTCGCAGAAGCCCGAGCCGAAGACCCAGTAGCCGAGCATGTCGTTGATGCCGGCGAAGGTCATGACGAGGCAGCCGACGAAGAGATCGGCCACGGCCAGCGAGGCGAGAAACAGATTGCCGATGCGGCGCAGCGCCCGGTCCGTGCAGATCGCCACGATCACGAGGACGTTGCCGGCCACCGACAGAAATATCAGGCAGCATAGCAGTAAACCTGTCGATAATCGCAAAATTTCCAGCTGATCACGGCTGTGCGCAATTTTTCGCTCCTTCGTGCAGCTCAATAATTGTAAATTGTTTTTTGGTTGGTGTGTACCTAAGTTTTATTATTCTGGACAACAAAGGTATAGAGCATTTGAGCAAACATCTGCCAACCGATAGCGATTGTTTGTCGTCGTGAAAGCGTCGATATACTTGGACTTTATTCATAGTCGAGTTTACGACAGTAAGTTAAGAGTGGCAAACTGGATTTGATCATCGTACGACTCGAGAATAATTGAAAATTAATTTTTTTTTCTCCCCTTTTCGAGCACTCCCGTTAATATACAGCTATTTCGGATCAGAAAAGAACACTGGATGATATCTGGCGAAGAATCCCGGTGGAACCATCGGAGAAAGAAGAAGAAAGGAAAAAAAAATAAAAATGAAAAGAAACGAGGGGAAAAAAGCCCTCGCAGTTGGGATAGTAGTTTCACGGACGATATGAGTTTAAATCGACGTATATATATACATGAACACACATGGCTACTTGAAAGCTATACACGCGAAATCGAATGTACGTGCACGAGTAGCAACAGCAGCATCAGGCGCGCTCGAATGTCTACTGAAACAGGCGAGTGTCTTATATATGAGAGTACATGTCAGTGTATGGGTGTGTGGGTGTGTGTGTGCGGTAAAGCGAAGTTTTGATCGAACCAACTAGAAGCAGCGACAGTCGTGAAAGCGCCACCCCAGGCAGGTCTCCTTCGTCCGTTTGATTGGTCTGCAACAGAAGTTTCAAGTTTAAAATTAAACTCCCAGTCGCAACTAGTACAATTACTTATTTATATTGCATGATAATGATATGGAATTGTTAAGGCGCATCAGACGTCTTAGCTATTAGCTCGAAACAATCGACCGAGCTATTCCAACTCCGAAAAGGAAAATGAAGTTGAGCAGCTTTCACGAGTATAGCACAGTATTATAAATCGTGGGAGGGATAAAAAAAACGTCCAAGTGCCTAATGCCGTTATCGAAATCCAATAGGACGCGCCTAAGCCGTTTTGCATTTAATGCAGCTCTCGCTCATTTACTCTCTCGCACGCGTTTACCCAATCGCATTAGCTTACCTGCAGCTGGCTATATATACGCTGTAGTATAGTCGCGTTGCGGTGCGCGTAGTCCTGCACACCTTCTAGCTATATAGACCGCATTACGTATTATATAAAATTATTCAACGTTACGTTGGCAGCAGCCGGGGGTTAGGCAACTGCTTACTAGATACAAACTGCTGCAGCTCGGAGATTAGATAGAGAGAGAGAGAGAGAAGTTCATTCTAACTGAATGTCAATTAGAAGTGACATCTAAATTAACAACCTGGGCGCTCATTTCGTCGTTTCAACGCGTATCTCGCTGGCGCAAGGCCTCGTTGGCAAAAATTTAATGTCGTCGCGGCTAACATTTGAAAACAGATAAAAGAAAGAAAAAAAATCTTTTCATCTAAATTAATTCGAGGCGTCGGCACTAATTGATGAAAAATGGCCAGTAACACGCTTATAATAGTTACGTTTTGCTCGCTCACGGAGCAGATACCGAAATCTTGATGATAAATCTGGGTGAATAATGAATCGTCGTCGTCGGCGGCGGCGGCGGAGCGAGAAGCCGCGAGCAGCTACACTACGTCGACGGAGATAAGGCAACTAGCTCGTGCACAAATTTCAGCTCTCTCTGGCAGCGCACCGTCGTTGCAGTATAGCTACGTCTCCGCAGCTTCAATCAGGATTTCGCGGTAAATTGTAATGTGCCTGAAAAATGATAAAGCCCGTGTATAATATATATGTAGTGGAACGTGCCGCAATGAAGTCCTCCCGCGCTCCTATATATTCCAGCTATATATAGCGCGTTTTAAGCTCGCGAGCGAGTCAGACATTCATTCATTTTCGCGTGTTGAGCATTGTAGCAAATAATAAGATATTTCCGTTTTCTCTCCTTACTCCCGCGCTCGTGTAACCTAGTGGAGAAAGACGAGAAAGAGAGAAAGAAAAAAAATTATATTCAAAAGTAGAAAGCTAAGTGGAGGAGGTGAGCTGCCGCTGCCGCTGCCGCTGCTGCTGCGTCGCACGTACAATAAAACGTGAAGAAAATTGCTAGATCCCGGGTCCCTTTTTTTTATATCGTGCGAGTTTTGCCCCTTTTTCTGCGCGTCGGTACGCGACACTCGCGTCGTGCGTTTCACAAATTCTTTGTGAGATTTTTCAATAACTTTTCCCCCGGTAAAATTTATTTCAAACTCCCTTTGCCGCTCTACTGACAACTATGAATTCACGTTTTTGCCCAAGTATTCGTCGCGCTCGTGTGTTGGTGCTTACGTATATGTGGATCAACGGCACAGCACATATAAGCGTATACGTATACGTAGAAAGGGGGAGAGAACGAGAGAAAAGTCAAATGTAAAACCCATGACCGACGCCACCAGCGCCAACCTTTTGCACCGACTAACAACCTCGATTCATAAATCAGCGCGTGCAACTGCACTATGTGCTCTATACGTATATATGCGCAGCGTGCAATGACCAAGCTAGCGAGCGCACAAATCCTTTGAAATCTCATTTCAATTCCCGCAGGACATTCGCTCTCTCCCCCTCGCACTGACTTATGTGTATACACTCGAAACCTAGATTTTGTTCAATACATCCTTAATGCTTGGCAAGAGGCTAAAGCCGGCTGCGGTGCGAACTTACTGCGCGTTGAAAAGAAACTTCCTTTGCTCCTTCGAACATTTTGATTGAAAGAGAAAAAAAGCTGGTGACGATCCAGCCTTTCCTAAGTACACCATGTATGCATTTATATATAAATGCGCGAGCAAAAGCTTAATTTTTATTCCGCAGACTGTTTGATTTGAATTTGTATATTGCAGATGTGGAACGAAAATAGGTTTTATCGACTTAAAAAGGGAGCAAAAAAGATTTTTTCCCCACTCTAACCTAAAATACGCAACTTTGCCGCTAATTTTAGGCTCTCGTAGGAAAAAATAGTATCTCAAACTGGTGCAGATATGGTTTTTTAACAAAACTCGTTACAGCACTCGCCTTCGGCTCGTGCTATAATCCCTCGTTTTGCTAAAAAACCATATGTGCACCCGTTGAGAAATATACTATTCTCACATTAATACCGCAAGCCATACGCAGATCCAAAGGAATTTTTTCATCAAACCTGCGGTCTTCACCGTGTGCCGCTTGCCTCAATTTCGCATTGCTATATTTCGACTGATCATTTTCCGATGCTATATTTCATATACGAGAGTTCAGTAAATATTTTTTACTCGTCTTAGTTTGTGATGCAAATTTTCAATGTAAAATAACGCGTATAATAACGCTGGTAATTATTACGACTTTTTTTTGGAAATTTCAACCTTACATTACATACATTAAAAAATACTGTAAGTCATTAACTGCTTGTCAAAGTTTGTAATGGCTGTAAGCGTGTACGTAGCTTCATTTTTACAATTTTTACGACTACAGGAGAGACTCGGTGACGCATTTATACAACGCCAACCTTGATATCTAAAGTAAAATGTATAGACGCAAGCTGTCTGTGTATTACAAGCATTTTGTATACGTACACGCGAGCGTACACTGGGTATGCAAAACGAAAGGGATATTTTTTTCAAAAAAAATTGCACTTTTCACGCGTTACGGTGATAGTTGCTCTCGTTGGTTAGCATTTACGTGTATATATATGCGCGCGTGTCGCTGGCAACATTTATCTAATTCCATATACATACAAGGCATATAGAGAACGCATTTTCACCTCCTACCTGAGAATAATGTCGAGTTTTTTTTAACGAACAGAAAATATCACCTTCGTTTTGCAAAATAAAAGTAATCTTATTATATTTGCAAAAAACTTGAGTTTAAATATTTGCTTATCTTTCGAATTTCAAAAATGTATGAAATATGGTGATTTGTTTCTTCCATAGATATCATACAATACAATGTTAACGAGGTTATACAACTTTATAAGAAAAATACTGCTCGATGTTGAAGTGAAAATTCCTATGGTGCAAGTGGTTTGTTACTGTGAACTCTGAAAATAAATTCCAAACCAGAGATTTTTCGCTTCTACACGACTCCTCTTGAGTTAAGAATACATTTAAAACTCATTATACAGATTTTTCGTCCCACGCGCTCTTTCTCTCTCTCTTTCTCGGAGTCAAGCTGCGCCAGCAGTTGAAAGGCATTAGGTTTTTGCATACATATATACGTGTACTAGACAGCAATTAAACTCTCGCTGCGGAAGAAAAACAATTGCTGCCAACTCCGAGTTTTTTTTTATTCGTTGATCGGGAAACAAGTTGCTCATTTGCATTCGAAGGTCGTGAATGAGGGAGAGCAGCTTTAACTGCTTTTTTACACCTACAATAAACAACCTTAGCTTGGTATGCGCTCTAATTAAGCGACGAATTCTTTACAAATCCAACATCAGTAGATATTTTTAATGAGAAAGTCAAGCATGTGCAATTGATTTAATTAATTTGTACTTTCCCTCGACAGTTATAAAAGGCAAAGTCTGCTTCTCGATAATTATTAACTGCCTTTTTTTCAATTTACACTCAAAAAGTAACTCATTTTTTTCTAAAGATAGATACGTGTAGGTTTTAATTTAATGCAAAATTTAAATTTAAATTTAAAAATTTTTACTATTTCAAGTGCACAAGTACCTGTATGAACAATTAAGAAAGAAACGTACGTTTGTGCGACCCGGCTTATAAGCTGTATATACTAAGGTCTAATTCAACTGTTAACGGTCTGTCTAAGCTGGAGCTTTTTTGCTTCCTCCTTGAGAAAGCACTGTGATGGGCTCGAAAATGAGTTTTTGAACCAGCCGTTGTAGGACATTTTGCTTTACGCATTTGTAAACTAGATTGAATTCAAAAAAATGTCTGTGAGTTTTTTCATGAAAGCAATGTCTCAATTATATTAGTATTCAACGCAAATGTAAGATTAAATTAAAATTTTTGAGAAAGCCTTTGGCCAACATTTTAGCAACGGTTGTTTTGTAATTGTTTATATGCAAGTACTAGTAAGTATACCAAATGATGTACGATATGTAAGTGCATACGAGCAAATGGATTCATTATTTCATCTCTTAGCGCACTATTGCAGATGCCCCGAGGTAGATATATTACTGTTAAAATTCTTGGGGCGGCGTTTCGCGCGGGAATTGGTTGCGTTCTGCTGTAATAAAACGAGGATTCGCTCTGGCGCACGATTCATCATCGTTCGCACGGAAGCTCCGAAAGCTTCGTCGAAAGTGAGCTTTTTTACCTCAACTCTGCAAGACTGTAGGTTGCATTTCTGATAGTTTTACTTCGAACTAAAGTCATTGGCGAGAAAAAAAAATTAAAAAAAAACTTCAAGAACGTTCAACGAAGGCAGGTAAGATAAAGCTACATTCCGTGTTTGGGATCAAAGTTTTATTAATATTTATATGTACAGATTATCGGTAATTGTGAGTTATTCGCTTTGGTTTATTCTATATTTGATAATAATTCAAATCATTCGATGTATTCGAAATGAGCTCATATCTATTATATACGCTAATCATAATGATGATTATGCATTAAATAATAGCACGTATGAATTATATTAGCACATTAACATTGTTGATCGGGTTTATGCGTCCATAACGCGCTGCTCAGCCCACCGCATTAATCTAATGCACCACAATTGTATGCGTGGTGCATTAAAAATTTTATCAACTTTTGTCCTTGAACACGAATAA